GGCCCCAACTCGGAGGCTCTCTACAAGAAGACCCTTGTTGAGCCCCGTGCCAACCTCAAGTTTGACTTCCCCACTCTTCCCGACTGGGAGGAGGAGATTGCTCCCCTCAACGACCGCCTCAAGGGCATGGTCGACTTGGAGAAGGTCGTCGTCGTTACCGGTTTCGCTGAGGTCAGTCCTTGGGGTAACTCCCGCACCCGTTGGGAGATGGAGGCTCACGGCGAGTTCTCTCTCGAGGGTTGCGTTGAGATGGCCTGGATCATGGGTCTGATCAAGAACCACAACGGTCCCATCAAGGGCAAGCCTGCTCCTTACTCCGGCTGGGTCGACTCCAAGACTGGCGAACCCGTCGATGACAAGGACATCAAGCAGAAGTACGAGAAGTTCATCCTCGAGCACTCGGGTATCCGTCTGATTGAGCCCGAGCTCTTCGGTGGCTACGACCCCGAGCAGAAGCAGCTTCTTCATGAGGTTGTCATCGAGGAGGATCTCGAGCCCTTCGAGGCGTCCAAGGAGACTGCTGAGGAGTTCAAGCGTGAGCACGGCGACAAGGTTGAGATCTTCGAGATCCCCGAGTCTGGCGAGTACATTGTCCGCATGAAGAAGGGAGCTGCTCTGTTGATCCCCAAGGCTCTTCGCTTCGACAGACTCGTTGCTGGCCAGATCCCCACCGGCTGGGACGCCAAGAGATACGGTGTCCCCGAGGACATTGTCTCCCAGGTCGACCCCGTCACCCTCTTCGTTCTCGTCTCCGTTGCCGAGACTCTTTTGTCGGCCGGTATCACCGACCCCTACGAGTTCTACAAGTACGTCCACGTTTCCGAGGTGGGCAACTGTATCGGATCCGGAATGGGAGGTGCTGGCGCCCTCCGTGGCATGCACAGAGACCGCTACCTCGACAAGCCTGTCCAAAACGACATTCTCCAGGAGTCCTTCATCAACACCATGGCCGCCTGGGTTAACATGTTGTTGATCTCTTCCTCCGGTCCCATCAAGACCCCTGTCGGTGCTTGCGCCACCGCTGTTGAGTCGGTCGACATTGGCTACGAGACCATCATGGAGGGCAAGGCTCGTATCGTCTTCGTTGGTGGTTTCGATGACTTTGGTGAAGAGGGCTCGTACGAGTTCGCCAACATGAAGGCCACCAGCAACGCTGTCGACGAGATTGCTCACGGCCGTACCCCCGGCGAGATGTCGCGTCCTACCACCACCACCCGTAACGGATTCATGGAGTCCCAGGGCTGCGGTGTCCAGCTCATCATGACCGCCAAGCTCGCCCTTGACATGGGTATGCCCATCCACGGTATCCTGGCTTTGACTACCACTGCCACCGACAAGATTGGCCGATCCGTTCCCGCTCCTGGCCAGGGTGTCTTGACCACCGCCCGCGAGCACGCCGGCAAGTTCCCCTCGCCTCTGCTCGACATCAACTACCGTCGCCGCCAGATCGAGCTTCGCAAGAAGCAGATCAAGCAGTGGCAGGAGTCTGAGCTCGAGTACCTCTACGACGAGGTCGAGGCCATCAAGGCTCAGGGCCAGGAGGTCAACGAGAAGGAGTACGCCCACGACCGCGCCGAGCACATCAAGAAGGAGGCTGAGCGCCAGGAGAAGGATGTCCTCCGCAGCCTCGGCAACAACTTCTGGAAGAACAACCCGGAGATTGCTCCTCTTCGTGGTGCCCTCGCCACCTGGGGCCTAACCATCGACGACCTCGAGGTTGCCTCTTTCCACGGAACCTCGACCAAGGCCAACGACAAGAACGAGTCTTCCGTCATCTGCCAGCAGCTCCGCCACCTTGGCCGCAAGCCGGGCAATGCTGTCATGGGTATCTTCCAGAAGTACCTCACTGGTCACCCCAAGGGTGCCGCCGGTGCCTGGATGATGAACGGCTGCTTGCAGGTGCTCAACACCGGTTTGGTCCCGGGCAACCGCAACGCCGACAACGTCGACCCCATCATGGAGCAGTTCGACATGATTGTCTATCCCAGCCGCACCATCCAGACCGATGGCATCAAGGCCTTCTCCGTCACCTCGTTCGGTTTCGGTCAGAAGGGTGCCCAGGCTATCGGTGTCCACCCCAAGTACCTCTTCGCTACCCTTGACGAGAAGACGTACGAGGCGTACTCTGCTAAGGTCAACGCTCGCCAGAAGAAGGCTTACAGCTTCTTCCACAAGGGCCTGGTCAACAACACGCTCTTCGTGCCCAAGTCCAACGCTCCTTACACCGACGAGCAGCTCAGCAAGGTTCTCCTGAACCCCGATGCTCGCGTCACCGAGGACAAGAAGACCTCCACTATCTCTTACCCCTCCAACTTCATGAAGGCGTCTGAGAAGACTGTCACCTCCACGGCGGCCAAGGCCACCCAGGACATGATGGAGGGTCTGGCCAAGAAGGTCGCCAACAAGAACAGCAATGTCGGTGTTGACGTTGAGGACATTTCCGCCATCAACATTGAGAACGAGACGTTCATCGAGCGCAACTTCACCGCCGGTGAGATCAAGTACTGCCAATCCGCGCCCAGTCCTCAAAGCTCGTTCGCTGGCCGGTGGAGCGCAAAGGAGGCCGTCTTCAAGTCTCTTGGTGTCTCCAGCAAGGGTGCCGGTGCGCCGTTGAAGGACATTGAGATTGCCAAGGATGAGTCAGGCGCCCCGACTGTCAAGGTATGCTTATTCCCCATGTTACAGTATGTTGCAATTATTTACTAATTTGATGATAGCTCCACGGTGAAGCTGCTGCTGCTGCCAAGAAGGTCGGCCTTTCAGACATCAGCGTCTCCATCTCACACTCTGAGACGCAAGCGATTGCGGTGGCCGTTGCAAACTTTTAAAAAGCGGGTAGACTGTACAATGCATTTCTAGTTCATGGGATATAGGCAGGCATGGGATCTTGCTTGTTCACTTTGGTCGTTTTTGACATCATACAAGCCTGGGAGTATAGATTGCGGGTACACTTTGGGAGGAGTGTAGCCGCATGATCATCATCGTCGGATAAATTGACGAGTAATGCACGAGTTGGGAACGGCGCAACCATGATAGAAGCTAGTTCCTCGATGCCACAATAGAATCTGTATCAACCATTTGTGTCTTGACGGTGACTTGATGCGAGGTGTAGCCTGTGACGTGAATTCAATCCAACCAGCTTAACCTATTGAGCGTAGCGACCAACACTTCTACCCCGCCTTGTACATGCTGATCGTGTTATCACAGAGGCGCAGACGTACTCCCTTTTCCCACCTGTTCGGGCGAAAAGCGGCGATCAGGATGCCAGGAATGCAACGTGATCCTGGTCTCGTTACATGGGAATCCACGACGCCCGTCTGATGAATGAGACGAACTGGTGAGGTGGGGGGCACAAGGCCATGGAGAGCGCGCGAGTGATTGGACTGACATGCGCTACCTAGGTAGTGGGAGGGAGAGATGGAACACGACGGAATCTGCACAATGGACTTATTGGAAGAGGATACTAAAGGTGATGTTGGCGATTGAGATTTAGGTGGTGGTTTCCTCTAAGGGTGATGAAGCGCTGCGACTGCGGCTACGGATATGGTTGACGCTGGGACATTTCAGGAGGTTCGGACCAAGGGCTGCGCCGTCGCAGATATCCAGGTTTGGAGGATGTTGTCCGGGCACGGCGATAAGGCAGGAGGCGGCTTAGACGTGCAGCGCCTGGTGTCTGACACGTTGATGGATGATTGTCAATAGATGAAATCAATGAAAGGAAGTGAAAGAATAGGTCAAAGAAAATCTGTTCAGGAAGGAAACGGCATGTTTTCATAGCTTGCGCGTTCTTTTGTATTCGCGGTCTCGTTTCGTTTCAGCGCACTGTTCTTCTGTGTTTCTTGTTCCATGTCGTCTTTCCTTGCCTTGAAGTCTCTCGCGGAGAGAGGAGGGAGGTTCGTCTGATGTGAAGATGTTTTGTTTTTCTTCACTTTTCCTGGGCCTGACAGCGCGTGACAGGAGAAACATCTCAGAACATGGGCCAAATACAAAACATGTTTTTTTTTCCCCCCTTCTTCTTCTTTTTCGATTTTCTCGTATGGTTTAGGGGCATACGATGCAGAATAGGGGGCCAACTGGGTCTCCTTTTTTTTTTTTTTTTTTTTTTTTTTTTTTGCATTAAATCCCGCGACGAGGAGGAACCTTGGCTAACAACTATCTGAAACTCGTGTAAACCTGCTGAACTCCAATCGTTCTCGCCGCCTCCGAGGAGCGTTGATACATTTAGGAGTGGAAGGGGGGGAGGATAATGGGATTCCCAGCTGGTTGCCCCCACTGGATCGCTCCTGCCGGCACCCGGCTCTAATCCCGGGTCATTGATCGACGAGCGTGGTGCTTCTTGGTGCGTCTGGGCTTTGCACTGCCGCGATGACTGGGGGGGCGTTGTGGAAAGGATCAAAAGGAGCATAAATCAGGAACCAGACCAATCAGATCTCGTGGGTAAGGAAGAGGCCCCTGCATGTTGGGAATGAAGGTGGTTTATGCATCGATGCATCCCTTATTTTTAAAGTGCGTCTTCTGTCTGTCGATCATCCGTCATTCTTGGTCTTTGGGTGCGGTCGAGGACCGCGACCGAGCGTCGTTCAGCCGACTGCGATCAGACTTCCCTGCTCTTAGGTAGAATCTCTAGGTGTTGTAATTGCGCTGGGTGTCTCTGTCTTTTTGTGGCGCAGGCCTTGCAGTTTGTTTGGGTCTTGATCACAATCTCCTATGGTTGGGGCCGTTGTCATGCAAGACCACGGACTGGGCGTGTTTGAAGGAGGCAGTTTGAACACCTCCTTTATTACGTGGGCTTGCTGGAGGGTATAAGGAAACAGACGTCCCCCATCGTGCGCGCCGAGAGTACTACGTGTTTGGTGTTTGGTTGTATGTTTATGAACCATCATTCACCTTCGTTTGTGTCTTCTTTTGGCTTGTTTCGACGTTTAGAGTGTTTAATACCTACACCTACACAATTTAGCAGCTATACGAGTGAAGCTATCCCGAACGCTTGAATTTCCACATCCGTGAGAATCCACAGCTACACACCAGTTCATTTCGCCAGCAGCAAGGGAATTGGGGAAGAAATAGAAACTATCTCACGATACTGAGAAAGATACTGAGAAAGCACAAAGCGAAAATGACGGGCGCAAACAGAATCAGAGGCCTCATGGGCAAAGGCGCCCCGCCAACACCAACCTTCTTCTCCATCGTCCGCGTCGCCGTCCTCGTCCTCTCGCTCGCCGTCCTCGCCGCGTGCGCGTACTGTTTGTCGCTACTGGGCTCCTACTCGAGCAGCTATACCGGCCCGCCTGGCTTCATGCTCTTTGTGGTATGTTTCCTGCCTCCAGTTCCCCCCCTTCCACCCGTCGACCCCACAGAAAAGACATACCTCAAGAAGTTACTTACTGACCGCACTCAACGTCATTCAGTCCCTCTTCACCCTCCTCGTCCTAGGCGGCGCCATGATCGTCGAGCACTTCGCAGCACACCTCTACTTCCGCATCGCTGTCCTCATTGGTTACGGCACGAATTGCCTGTTTTGGCTCTCGGGCTGGGCGTGGTCTGCGAGTATCGCGGCGTTATTTTTGGGAGACACGTGTGTGCAGGGGACGTGTTTTGGGCCTACGACGGAGGAGAAGAGGTACGGGGGTAGTATGGCTGGTGCTGCTGCCGTTGGGGCCGTGAATTGGTAAGTCTTCTTTTTTCTTTTGTCCTGGGTTGTGGACTGTGTTGTGGTGTTTGACGATTGATTTGCTAATGTGATGGTTTTAGGGTTCTGATGACGATTGTGCTGTTTTACTACATCAAGGGATGTCTTTCTGACCCGGATTGCTATGGTGTCTCGACGGGCCATGGGTCGGAGATGGGGAGTGTCAAGGCTGAGAGCAAGTCGAGGTCTCAGCCTTCCGTCAACGAGCCGTGAGCCCGGCAGTGTGCAAGTAATAAAGTTGCAAAGAAGCTTGACGAAGTTCGAGTTGGGTCATTATGAGAAGGGGAAGATTCGCAATAATCTCTGCTCGAATTGGATCTTGACTTGATAATGAATGGAGTTCTTTGGTTTAAATGGAGGTAATTGCACGACTGCTGTTCCTGCCCGGTTCTTCTCAGACGGTTCTGGAGAGGAGGTATGATATGAGATTTCAATGGTTTGATGAGAGATACCACTGGCTATCATTAGTAGCTAATTTTATTTGCGTGAACTCGAACTCCTGCAGTTGAGAACTTGAACGTGAGATTTTTCCCATTGCCCCTACCTTCCGTGTGGCCAGAAATATGGTTCGAACGAATTCTTCACAACCGGACATGCTTCGGCTGCCTTGGATGCCACTTGAGCACTACTTACATCTGTCTTGCTTCCTGTTCCTCTTCGACTTCCTCACGAGACCACTGGGAGGCTTCTTTTACATGGCAGGCAAGCTGGTTCCACTCCGCCACGAAGCCCATGGCAACATTACTTGAAGTGGTCCGCTCAGGTTCCCCAACATCCCTTGCGTTCGAAACAAGCGGCAAGTTCGAATGCTCCTGTCCAAGGACTCAACAAGAGACACAGGTTCATGTATGTATGCCGTCTCTTGGGAATCACCGCGTATCATCTCGATTAATCTGAATCAGTAATATTGAGTTGAGAGCTAAGCAGAAAACAAACAGGTAACGCCTTGAACTGGGTATCAAACTCCTGGGGCCTCTGTACAAATACAGTACTTTTTCAAATAGCCCCGAAAGTCCATTCTCTTCGCTAAAGCAAAACTCGCAGAAGGAGCAAAGCATGAACAAGGAATCCTCTCAAAAAGCCAGCCCACGAAATCTCATTCCTCGTCCATTCATAATCCAACAGCGCCCACGGAAACGACATCCCAATTCCTTCTTCTCGTCAGGAAAACTCTCTCTCTTCAACGCTTCCTCTTAGCCGGCACCGCCTTGGGCGTCCCAGGCGCCACCTCCCCCACATCCTGAAAGAAGTCCAACGCATCAATCCGATAATCCGCCGCCAAAGCCTCCTTGGCCACCGCCGGCAAATACCCCCAACCGCTAGGATCCGCGCCAGCAGCAATAGCCTTGGCCTTCCAGTACCGACACTCCGCCTTGGCGAAACTCGCCTCCTCGGCGCGGAGCACGGCGGCCCGGTCACGTCGGTTCCGGCTGCGCATCGCGGCGACGTTATTGCGGTCTTTGAGGTTGCGTAGGCGCGCGGCTGCGAGGTGGTTGTTGTAGGCCATCGCTTCCTGGCGTCGGGAGCATCCTTCGGTGCCGAGGGAGGCGTCGATCTTGATGAATTTGCCGAGGGCCGGTTGAGGGGGCAGGGAGATGATTTCGGGTGCGAGGGGGGCGGCGCGGATTTTGTAGATTTTGGTGGTGGCGGAGGAGGAGGGGGTGGAGGTGAGGAGGTCGTGGTTCTTTACGCGCGGGGAGGGAGGGGGGAGGGTTGTGTGCGTGTTGGTTGAGAAGAGGTGTTTGATTTCGGTTTCGCGGCGGGTGCGTTCTTCGAGGGTTGTGTAGAGGGGCACTTGGAGGTGGGCTGTCAGGAGAGAGGAGACTGTTCCCGGGAGGTTGTTGGGGGAAAAGAGGGTTAGGTGGTATGGGGGTTCGACGTCGGGTGTTGTTGAGCGGGGAGAGAGTTGGAGGGGCTTTGGAGCGCGAGAGCGGAGGCGCTTGGAGGGTGGTCCCATGGCCTCGTTCTGGGGCTGTTGAGGAGGAGGAGGAGGAGGAGGAGGAGGTTGGGTGTAGGCGTTGGCCATGGGTTGCTGGTAAGGGGGGCTGCTGTACGGAGACTGGTATGGTGGCGGCTGGAAGTTATTGCTGCATGGCGACTGGTACTGAGAATGAGGAGGATTGTGTGGTTGCTGGTACTCGTTGAGGCCGAAGAGAGGTATATCGTTGAGGAAGCTGTCCTTGAAGAGGTATGGATCCCGGGTATTATCGAGATCCAGGAACTGGCTGTAGGGGCCGGCCATGACGAAGTTGTTGAGCAGTATTTGCGACGTATTTTGAGAATAGTGAAGACTTTCGGGTTGTTGAAGTTCTGAGAAGCAAGTTCGTAGGCTGGTGACTGATCGTGGTGTTTGCTCTGGACGATTTGAGTCACGATGCCACGTAGGAAGAAGTGGATGGTGTTTGCTGGTTAAGTAGTATCCAGATACTACCTTGACTAGCGTCAGTGAAAAAAAAGAGAACGGACTTGATCAAAGTAAGGAAGCGGTTTGACTGAATTGAAGGGTGGCAAGCAAAATATCGTGGTGAGTGGGTGAATGGGGGGGATTTATATGGATAGGGGGAGAGGGCGGTTGTTCGGTCGTTCGACAGCCTATTCAGAGGCCGCCCATTTGACGCCTTTACGCGAGCAAACAATATGAGATGAATGATCACGCAGTTACAAAAGAATTGGCAAAAGTGATTCTGGGCCTTCGCCTAAGCAAACACGTGAGTCGAGAAGTTGAGATGACGGGGCAGCGGATCACGGGGTCGGCACGGCGATCGTGAGAGCTGGAGGGAGGTTTTGAGAGTCATTTTGGCAGTTTGGCGGTGTTAAATCACATGTGAACTGGTTAGGAGCGACCATAGTTATGTTGTGAATTGATGTATTTCAGGAGCAGAGAATGGCAGTTTTGAAGACAGGGGCAGGTTGCTGGAAGGTATCGTGGCACATGTCCAGTGTAATATGTTGTGAATCTTGAGCTTGGCAAAGACCTGGCGAACTGGTTATGCGCAATCATTGGAGATATATTGTGAACCCTACAACTAGTATCTAATATCTGCCCCAGAGCTTGAGTATGTTTATTTACTGTGCTTTTCTTCGCGTCTCTTCCAGTTTGTGCCTGCTTGACATTGACCGACGTTGCGAAAAGGTCCGGCCACATCCGGGATATGTGGGGCCGATCCAGTACGGGAGCCGGTCCGGGTTCCTCTTTGAGATGTTTTCTCAAGACAAAGACATATCGCCAGAATTCCATATTTCTCAGAAACGTACCTGGATGACCACGATGAAAGTCGGAATTTTTTTTTGTTTGAATAAAATTGTCATGTAATTGTATTCCTCATCTAGATAAGCCGGTTGAACAGACTCTTATTATACCAAGTCAAACGCTCCCACTGGATATTCCCGTCGGCCGTGTTCAGGCTCGATCTGTTGTCATGCAATGCAACCCCCCCAAAAACGCCGCGAATACAAGCCCTCTCTGGCCGGCAAGGCTGTGAAGCTTGCCCATCTTTTCAACAAATGCGCCCCTCAAAGTATACGCCAAGCGAAACCTTCTATAGCTTGCTCTTCTGGACATCCTCCATCTCTTTGAGAATGTAGTCGTTGAACTCCTCGGCGTTATCCAGGTAAAGGTGGTGACCCGCCTTCGACACCTCAATAACCTTTGCCGAGCCATTCTCCCTCCTCTTCTCTTCCTCAGTCCCGTTCAGCAGTGCCTGCAACCTAGCCTGCTTCAGCTTCTCGGCCGCTGCGACACCACCCTTCTTGTCCATCCAGTCGCTCTCGCCGTACATCATGACAATAGGGATGCCCGTCTCCTTGAACTTCTCGCCCGTGCTCTTCTCAATGACCTGGCGGCCGACGCCGTCTATCCTGTTGACCATGGGACTGCGGGCAAACGCGCCGGGGGCGAGGATGTACGGCAGGGCGTACTCGCCGCTGCCGCGCTGGCGGAAGATGGAGAAGGCGTAGTCGTGTAGCGTCTGGGACTCTTCTTGCGGCAGGTGATTGAAGCGGCGGGAGGTCCAGCCAGAGACGAAACGGGGGCCGAGAGGGCCGGTGAAGCGGACGATGCTGAAGGGGGAAACGTTTGCGTCCCAGAGCCAGACGAGCCAGCCTGGGAGTGGGCGCTTCGGTGTGTTGGGCGCGTTGGTCTTGTTGTTTCGTGATCCGACTGTGTTTTGGCCGTTGCTGGTGATTTCGTTTTGATCCTGTGTGAATTCGTTCTGGAGGGTCGATTCTTCGGGCTCGGGCATGGCTGCGTTGACCGCGTAGGGGTCCTCGGGGATTCCGACGGGCGAGGCGAGGATGAGCTTCTTCAGGTGGCCGGGGTACTTAAGCGCGTAGGCGATGGAGAGGTATCCACCGAGGGAGTGGCCGACGAGGGTGAACTTGTCAATGTTGCGCTTCTTGCGCCACTCCTCGAGGGCATCGATGAACCAGGCCTCGGCCTCGGCAGTCTTGCCCTCCTGGTCCTTGGCGGTGACCTTGAATGGCGGTCTCGTGGAGTTGCCCATGCCGAGCATATCAAGGGCGTAAAGCTTCCATCCCTTGGGGCGGGAAAGGGGCTCAAAGTTCTTGTAGAAGAAGCCGAGGCCGGCGCCGTAGCCGTGAACGATGACGAGGTTGTTGTCGACCTCCTCGCCGACGCGCTCGATGGAGTATTCGTTCAAGGCACGGTTCTTGCCGGAGAGCTCGACCATTTGGGACTTCCATACGCGCTGGCCAAAGGGGTCTGGTTTGGTCGAGTCGAGGGAGGCGTTTTCGCGGGCTTCTTTGAGGTAAGGGATGTGTGACAGGACGTTGCGTTCGGCCATTTGCGGAGTTACACTTGTCCACTGCGGAATTTTTGTTAGCCATGTTACGCTACGATCCAAGGGAATTTGTTCATCTGCTTACCCATTGATAGACGGCATCTTTGTATCCCAAGGGGAAGTAGGTTCCTGGGGGACGAGTCGTCGCATTGGGAGCGGCGGGGGGTGCGGCGGCGGCAGCCATGGTTTGGTGGGATCGGCGAGGGACGGAGTCTTCAGAAGAGGCCCGTATGCTGGGAGCAGGAGATTTGACGGTTGCAGAGGACGATGTAAGCAGTGAGGAAGCAAGTTTGAGTCGCGACCCGTTCACTATAGAAGAAGCAGTTTGTTGGTGTATCATGCCGGGTGTTGCTGTGGGTGGTGGCGACGGGGGCCAACCGTCTATATACAAAAGTCGCAAAATAAAGTACGGGTAGCGTAAGGCGTCAGTTCAGTGTGGCCGCGGGCGGCGGAGGTGTGTGTGCGGAGCGCGGATGTTCTGAAACTTGCGACGACTCATCAGTCAGCAAAGAATGCGGACCGGGGCTGTAGTCTGTACGGAGCGGGATAGATAGATCCAGTAAACGCCGGGTTAGCAATCCTTCCAAGTCTAGGCAGGCGCAGTAACAAAAAAGAGACGGAGACACAGTTGTGCAAACAGTGGTGACGCGGAGATGTGGCAGAGGGGTGGACAAAAGATGACGGTGGGCGCGGATTGGAACTTTGGGGGTGGTGGGCAAGCCGTAAAGCTGCGAAAGGTGGCAGGGGAGGGTTCGATGAGAGAGAGACAAGCCAGGCGCCCCGGCCGGAATGTCAACGGCTCCGTAAAAAACCGACAAGCTTGTTGAGCAGTTGAGTGACAGGGGCATAAGCAGGCAGGGCAGGGGTCATTGTGTGAGGAACATGAGAAAGAATTGGCACCAAGGGGGAAACAACGTGCGCCCCAGAAGCGGGATGCGGATCGGTTCATGGACTTAGCACTCGGAGTTTGGCGGGTAGAAGAGTGGGGGCAGCTGTTGCATTGAGCCGTGTCGGCGGTAAGAGAAAAAACAAGCCTCCGATGTCCCGGTGGACATGTGGCTGGCCTTTTAGAAATTCGTAGATGGCCCAGTCAGATGATGCGTTCAAGGCTGTGGTCTGGAGCTGACGGTGCAATTTTACTCCAGAACCTTACGCAATCAACGAGACGCTTACTCGATGTAGGCAACAATCTGAATGGGGGCTGAAATAGCATCGTGGATTCGTGGCCAGATCATGACCATACAATTTTGGACAGGATCTGGCATCTGGTGTATCCGTATGCTGTCAATATTTGCATGAGACCTGCATGGAGCAAGTATCCGTAATTGAGTTCAGTGAAGAAGAGACGAAACTTCCTTCTCTAGCTTGTCGAATATGTTTCAACTGTGAGGCCCAAAAACAAAGCATGGACGAGCAAAACATCTTTTCTCGCAATGTCTCCCACATGATGAGGCAGCAACTCAAGATGCACTCAGGGTCTTTGCGAATTGTGTGGGAAAACGGTGGAAATGAGCTTTTCGCGACGAGCCAGAGCCGAGCAACCCTGTGCTCTATAGGAGCCCTGCATATCCCTGAGCAGCTCATTACGGAGTAGCCTTGGCTCTTCAAGCCGACAGGGCTTGATTTAATATGAAGCAGTCCATCGTCAATGAAAGTCTTCAACCGATTTGCACGTGTCGAGAGCTCTCCCTGCTCAGCTCCCCAACAAGCCTTATCGCAATCGCAATCGCTTATCGCCCTGGTCCCGACACCCCGCGCTCGGGCCACCCCGCCTCTCTTCCCTATGACGTCCCACTGTCCACACCTGCCGCCAGACGGAGCGGAATTTCCACCCCCAGCCCGCCAGTTGAAGCACAACCCGGCCGGCCTGGATTGACATCTGACCACCGACAGATTCCAGTTCCGCCCTTGCTTCTCGAACACCAGCAGAACGCACACACGCAGAAGCTCCCATTCCCAAGGGCAGTGCAGCTTAAGCAGCCTTATTTGCTTGTTGCTCACTCCTTTCTGCACCTGCGCTCCGTCCACCTGCAGCTTCGCATCATCCTCCCCGCCCCCGAGCATTGCGCATGTCTACAGACCGCTGCTAACTGCGGCTGCCGAGGCCCCCTCCAATTATCAATTCCCCGTTCCGAAGCGACCTGACCGCCACATCACCACCGAAAAGCTATAACCCCCCTCCGAGCGACGAGAGGTCTCCTTACCGCAACGATGGCCGACGAGCTTGACTCGCTCGTCAAGGGCGCCCCGCCTCCGGGCAAGGAGCCCAAGGCCGCCGTCGGCACCACCGGCGTCGTCCCGGACTCTGGCAAGCAAGGCGACCCGTTGATACACACACCTAGCTCCCCGTCCATGATCTACCTGAACCTCCTCATCCTCGAGGCCTCTCTTCGCGCGCAGTACCTGGAGCTTCGCGCGCGCCGCCGCCATCATACGTTCTTTTTCACCTTACTGACCGCATGGATCAGCGGTTTTGGTTACGCCCTCTTCTTCGCCCCGCGCGAGGATGGCCGTGGCGTTGGTGGCTCCGTATACTGGGGCGTCGAGACATTCGAGAAGATTTGCCTTATGGGAGGCGTCATGACCGCGATATTGGTATGGGCTACAGGAATATGGGAGCGAGGTATCAGGTGGCCACGCCGATGGTTCGCCATCTCCAACAGAGGCCTTCGAGGGTTCAATTCTAAGCTAGTCATTATCCGACGACCTTGGTGGGCCGAGTTTCTCTCCACCATTGGATTCTTCCTGACCTACGGACTGTTCTCCCACACCGCCAGCTCGTCCTACCGCTACGTCGAACCATCCATCCTGCGCGAAGTCGAAAAGGAGCTGAGCCTCACAGCGGACAGCCACCCAACGCTACCAGTCCTGCTCGAAGACGAAGAGAAAGGAGGCCACGAGGAGGATCTCGCGCCGGGCGGAGACTACGTTAAGCTTCTCCTGCTCGCGAAGCCGTTCACGCCTACATTTAGAGAAAACTGGGAAATCTACCGCACCGAATACTGGGAAAAGGAGAACGAGCGCCGCGCCCTCATCCAGAAGAAGCTCGCAGCACGCGACCGTCAAGTGGCCAAGCAGCGGTGGGGCATGTTCTGGTGGCTGCCGTGGCACCGCATCGACAAGGCCGGCCCGCCGCCCGCGCGCCAGCAGTCGCCCGAGAAGACGACGATGCACCCCCGCGCCGCCGCCATTGAGCGAGAGCACCGACGCCGTAGTAGCACTACCAGCGCGCACCGCCGAAGCTCGACGAGCTCGAATCGTAGCCTCGCGCCATCTGTGGCCGCGACTAGTGATGACGGTGATGGTACCGTTAGTAGGAAGGCTAGCACCGGGTCCAATGCGTCGGAGAAGCGGAGGAAGAAGACGTTGACGAAGGCGAAGCGCCCCAACATTGAATCGAGGTCCGTCACGCCTGATATCTCGTCGCCGTTGGCGAGGGAGGGAAGTATCAGTCGTGGGGATAGCGGTTCCGGTGCCGAGTCTGTGGCGGAGAGGTCGTTGAGGCACTCTTCGTCCAAGGCTAGTATCAGCTCGTCCATCAATTCGTTTCGGGAGAAGCAGCGGAAGGCCAGCGAGTCGTGATTGCATGGGATTATAATGTACTTTACGAAGCGAAGAAGCGAACAGATGATCAATGAACATGGTACACATGCATTACTACTGCTAATGATTCCCTAAGGTACCTCATGCTTTTTGTTCTTACTGCTGGCCACCTCAGCCTACCTCAGGGGGGCTACCTGATGAGTAATGCTTGGATGAATATGAGGCCTGAACACATGATCTATCTTATCTGGCATTATCAATCGCCATTAGTCTGGATCTCCTTTTCGTCTCAGCAGCGGTCGTTTGGTCCTTGGCTCCTGCCTGAGCTCTTTGCGCCTTCCTCTGTCACTTGCCCCAGGTCCTGCCTCCAAGATTCTCTCCCTCTCTCCTTCCCGCAAATACGCCCTTCAGATTATTTATCAGTCAGATCGGAAGAACGCGCACTCGTCCCTACCTCCCGTCTGCCTAAGATAGGTGCTCGGCTCCACTTCTACCCTGACCCGGCACTCTGGCTTGACCTAATGCCTTCCTCTCAGCCGATCTTACAACCTTCCATCTTTCCCTTCTTCTACCTTTCCCTTTTCCCCCCACCTATCTCTCACTATCCCACTCCATCACCAGGCGGCCGGCCCTCCAAGGCATTACTTCAAAAAAAAAAAAATCTTTCTATTTCAATGACCTACAGCTATGGAACATTCCTTTTAATACATTGGAGTCATTGACACGTCTTCCATGTCCTCAAAGCATCTCAACGCAGTTTACTTCCAACAGAGCAACATTGATCTTTTTCGCCTGTCGAGTAGGATTGTCAATCCTGGGCACCAGTCATCGAATTGTTCGAACCTTCCCCTTCCACCCCATCTGACGAACGCGAGAGGATGGGTCCGATGCCACGTGACGAGCTCAACCGCCGTGGTCAGGGGGGCTGGGCAACCTGGCACGAGTGATATCTCTTCTCTACGAAACTACCTACCTAATGTGAGTACAATTCAACGTTCTTTCCCTTTGATGACAACCGATACTCATCATCTGCCACAGTACCTAGGTATCTACCTACCTTATGGAGGAGAGGAATACGGCCAAGAGGACTCAGCTGGAATCTGGGTCTCTTGCTCTTTCCCAAGTCTTCTGTCCGTATGTCTACGTACCATGGGGTTCCTAATCGTACCTGCTGTTCTGGCAGAGTACATGAGTACGTCCCTGATAACACCATCGATTCGGTAAGGAACCAAGCACAGCAACCGCCTTCTTCTTTCCTGTTCTGACTTGAAGCAGCTGCCAGAAGACAAGCAGATGACCTCTCCTCTATCGCCACTCCATCCCACGTCTTCTGTAGACTTCTCTCGCTTCTCTTCTCACCTCTTCTCGGGACGAAAGTCTTCTCTCTATTCTCGATTCCCAACATCTTTCTCACCAAAGCTTCCCTAACAAAAATGGCTCCTATCAGACGTAAGTCTTTCAGCCTCTGGTGCTCCTCCTGGTCGTCACTCACTCAATTCCAGAGAACCCCCAGCTTGCTCTGAAAACCGTCAAGCGTAAGGTTGCTGTTCGACCTGCCAAACGACCTGTCAACCGACTTGTTCGAAAGCGAGTACCTCCAATCGGTTCTTGGTCTCGTCCGATTGTTCTTGGCAACATCTCTACTCTGGATGGATCTCAATCCAGTCCAATTGTCATTGAAGACCATCCTGAACTTGATGGTTCCATTTCCAAGCCCATTGAGCTTGAAGACGACTCTGGTGACGAAGGAACTAGTTCCAATCCCATTGTGCTCGTGGATGACCCTGGTGATGGATTGGACCAAGGTGCCTTCATCGTCAGGCTGCAGATGATCACCGTATTAGAGGAATGGGTATTTCTCCATCATGCTGATTAAAAGTCCAACGGTAAGTTTCTTCAATTTTCTTTAGTCATATCACCTCTTCTGTCATCATCGTTGCTCACATGTGTAATAACAGACTGTTGACTACGGACTCAAAGCCGCCATCTCATTCGAAGTCATCCACCTGACAAATCGAAACCACCTGCATCTGATGTGGAGACCAGGCCAGCTTTCTTCTTTTGGACTCAAGGTTATCTCCTTCCATTATGGAATCGAGCCCATCCGTATTTGATTTGGACGACTCGCCGTGCCAGGACGTGGACTGGGAGAAGACGCAAGGGATCTCGCAGGAACCTTCAAGTTGTATTATAGTTATTTAGTTCTCGAAGCAATGAAACGAGGAGTTGAACAAAGAAAGACCCAAATACTCTGACTAGTAACCCCTCATTGCATGGCTTCAACTGCAAGCAAGCATGACACGTCACATATGTTCATGCATCAGCTGCTTGGCTGCGACTAGGAGCTTTCACATAGCTCTACGTTGAAGTCAAAACTGCAGTTGAGCGATGGATTCTATTCACGTCTGGGTTGCAAAAATGGAAATGAGAAGGACTATTGGTGTAAACACCAAGAAACCGCCCGTTCGAATGTGGTTCAAGTTATGGCCATGTATCGTGACCTTCTTCTTTCCTAAAGGCTTGCTTTGGTCGGATGGGACAGGAAAGGTCCTGGTGATGGTGGTGAAAGGTGCTTTCTCGTGGGATGGAATGGTATGCTTCACACTGAACGATCCGAGCGAGATGAAAATTGAGGAGGAAGTTGAGAGTTCGCCGTAGAGCGACGACGCGGTGGATTCCAACTTGTCAGGTTCGGGTTCGAGAGGAGAGAAACAGCTATCTACACCTCCAGTTGCAAGTTTCTTTTTTGGCTGGAGCGCGATGGCCGCTGCATAGTCTAGCTCAAAGCTCATCGGCAGAACCAAAAGCCATCAGCTTCTCGTCCAACCATTGCTCCACTCTCCCAGTCCAATCCCAGATAATGACTTCCTCTCCTCCAGCACCCGTCGTGAAGTTCCCATGAAAAGCGCCAACATGGACCCCCTTCAACCTCGGAAACTTCTTCCTTACAATCTTCCCAGCCAATTCCGTGGCCGCAAGATCGCAAACCATGTCACTGCGCCAATATTCGGCTCCTCTTTCGCTCATGTGCGCGTTATCGCACTCCGGCCCCCCTGGAGAGCCGAGGTCTAGTTTCGCGGCCCGCGGGAGGTAAAGCCGTGTGAGATTGGAAAGAAGAGACAGTGATTCTGCAAGGTCCTGCGTTGCAATATGCGGTGATTAGCAAGACATGAAGAATCAACCGTCGAGGGATGGCGGATGGACAAGAGGCAAAAAAAAAGGTATTTACCCACAGTTCGTCCCCCGGGAATCTACCGATTCTGATAAGCCGCATTGGAACACCTATATGGAGCTCCTCAGTGTGAGGTGCATATTGAACGATGACTATGGAGTTTTTGATTAGTCTTGAGCTGAATTTGACATGGGAGCTCCCGCGTCTCAGATACTCACAATCAGTCATTGTGTCCATCCAATCGACCGTGTCCCATAACAAGCTTCCTCAGACTTTTGGCTCTCCTAGCGGCCGCAAACCACGCCTCATCCCTCACGTACCCCTCTTCTCCCCAGACAAATCCATCGCGTGTCGCTTCAAGTGAGGTCAGTGAAGGGCAAGCGTCAACGAGCCACGGCGCATTCATGCTCGTTACCAAGTGCTTCACACCAGGCAACCGCGTCCCGTCCTCGATAAAGAACTTTCCGATGGCAGTATTCTCGTCGGCTCCCCGTATCAACCAATCGATCGTACTCAAGTTCTTCATCTTCCCCATCACCTCGGAGAACAGCGCCGGTACGGGCTTTGGGAGAGGCGTCGATCTCGCGCCGGCGTGGTCCCAGGTATCGCTCAGGGTCTGCCACCTCAATTCGACCGTTAAGTCACCAACTTCGGCAAGTGCCCTCGGGCACGCCTTTATCTCCTCGAGTTTATTGCGAACATTCTTCCAGCCGTAGCGGCTCACGCCGGCGCGGTGATTGTTGATCTCGAGCTGGTGGAACAGATCCGCTGGTACCTCGAGGCCCTCGCGCACATTCGCGCTCTCATCTCCGTCAGCAACGCCATCCTGATAATAGTTATCGTCGGCCGAGAGCGTATAAATGAACGTTGTCACGTCCGGAAGACTGGAAAGTTCGTGGGCATGGGTGGTGAGCCATGGATGACCCGTGTCAAGAACGAATTGAGGAACGCGCGAGGTTACACTGCTGCTGCTGCTGCTGCCTAGCCATGAGGAGACGAGTGGGACCTGGAAAGACGGGAGATCCCAAGCTGACGCGAGGCCCTGGAAAAGGAAACAAAAAAAAGAGGAGGGAAGCTGTAGTGAGTACTTTCATGATGTTTTTTGGTCGCTTCGGAGTCGTCTGAAGGGTTAGTAGAACGATTCGTTTATTGATAGCTCGGTTGCTCAAAGCTTGGGGCAGGGAGCGCTTATATACTTATCTAGACCCATGTAAACGTAGATGCAATTCAGTCTGCCTGGCATCAAACTTTAGCTTTGGGAATGGGAACACGTTGTCTGGAAAGGTCTACGTAATTTTGAAGCCGAGGGGCAAATCCATGAAACATAGGAGATGGATGCTGTCGATCGCATCGCAGGGTGCTAAATTAGCCGTGTCAAGCAAACCACGAACACAGCCAATAGTTCCCAGGTCAGGACGCGTGGCCTTTTTTTTCTATTATGACTCACAGATAAGAGGTCTCGTCACAGGCAGTACCCAAATGCGTTGAATAGAAAGACACAAATCATTGCAATGGATATCTCAAACACAATCCGGGCATTGGCGAGGCCACCTTGCCTCATCCAGTGCCCCGGCCCATTACTTTCCCTCCTAAATCAAAGTTCTAACAATTGCAATCGCCACCTCCATTATCATCCAAGACGCAAAGAGCTGCGCCGAGCTCCTTGTCGTACCTGGGTGATAGCTCATAGCCTGCAAAGTCGCGTCGTAAAGAGCGTAAGGGTATCATAACCAAAAAAAAGAGCAGCGTCCCCCATTAGATATGCACAGTTGCCCAAATAAATACCCGCCAAATGATGCCAATTACTCGTCAGTCTTAGGGAGTGTCGTGAAGTCGTTGTAACAAAACCGAATCACAAGTCTCATCTCAATAAAACGCCAAATATGATGATGGTCCTGGACCTCGGGAAGGAATGTGTGGAATGAAACGATGAACTTTTACCGCCAATTGTATAAACCCACGAAGAGAAATGTTATGCAGTGTTCAGAAGGATTGAATGCGAATTAGAGGAGTAGAAGAACCATAAGCGGCGCCAGTACGGCGAATATGGTTGAGATAGCGGGCTTCGCTGCTGCGGCTGTGACGGGGCCTGTCGTAGTGGTGCTTGGAGAAGACGCAGTCGAGGATGGTGCCGAGGTTCCAGACGTTGAGACTATAGCTCCGCCAGTGGCTGTGGATGCAGATCCGGCCTTAGTGCTTGAAGTGGCAGACCCGGACTCTGAAGGGCTTGAGGCGGATGGACTTGAGCCGGCACCGCTTGTCGCTGTCCCGGATGGCACTGATGATGCTGACGATGAACTTGTCGCGTGAGGCAATGACTCGCTTGCTGAAACACCCGGTTGGCTTGAAGCGCTTGACGCGCTCGCAGAACTTGAAGCAACTGTAGTACCTGAGGCACTCGGAGCACTAGACGCACTTGGAGAACCCGAGGCTTGGCTTCCGGTCGACGTGGAAGTTCCAGCAGAAGTTGAACCAGTCGAACTGGCATCAGATGTCGCTGCTGAAGGGCTAGAAGTCACTGCGGTGGTTCCTGAGCTAATTGTCGTTGCGGAAGTCGTGTCAGATGGCGTGGAAGAGACCGAAGGGCTGGAGCTGGATACCGACTGGGAGCTTTCTGCCGCGCTGGTAGTCGAGAGTGTAGAAGACGCTACTGCGCTCGTGCTAGGGGACGGCGTGGGAGTCGGAGTGGACATAGGAGTGGTAGACACATCCGCAGTGGTGGTTGTGGTTGAGCCTGGAATAGGGACGGCCGAGATATCACTTGAACCAGCCCCTTGGCTTGCTGTCGTGAGTGTAGCGGTGCCGCTTGCTTGACTCTGGGGTGGCAGCACAGTTGCAGTGGACGAAGTCTGCGGCGCTTCGCCGGTGCAGTAAACTAGCCACTGCTGGAACTGCGGTTCGATGTAGACACGTAGGGTACCCTTATTCTCGGAGGGGTCGTTTTCATTCACGCACTGCCTGCAAGCATCGAGATTTGCATTAAAGGCAGAGCCCGGTTCGCAAATCTGAGGGTTCTTGCCGACGGTCTGGACCTCGATGTAAACATTGTTACAATTGTCGAAACAAATAGCAGGGGCGATCGTAACATCCCGCTTGCTGAACGAAGCACGACGCTCGTAGGTCTTACCCTCCTGTTTATGCTTGTAGGCATGTTTACCAATCTCAGCGGAGGATGTAGGAGCAGGGGAAGATGTGATTGTGGGTTGAGCAGTTGGAGGAAAGTGAGTGAGCTCTGTGGCTGAAGCCCAGTTGCCAGTCGTGATTGTCGTTCTCTTGTGTCCCTTTTTACCCTTCACCTTGGAAACGATGACTTCGTACTCAAAGATGCTAAAGGGAAGACCAAAGGCATTCGGATTTAGGTTGAAGTATCCCTCGTTCACTGGGTAGTAACCTGTCTCGTTCTCCTTCCAATTTGCCAGAGTGACAGGCGGTGCTGGAATACAATTCTGCGGGGCGCAGACATAGCTATCTGCCGGCGGGTCTGCCCATAGGTTGCAACCAGCGGGCTTGGGAGGGTTACAGACATATCCAGGTTGACAGCCCCATGTCAGATTTGACTTGGGATTGTACTCGACCGTAGGGTTCAGTCCGGGGGTGTTTGACGGGGCAGGACAAGCCGTTATCTCTGTGACCGGTGGCAAGGTAAAGGTGACGGGAGGCAACGACAAGGTCGAGACGACGGTAGATGTCGGCCCTGGGACGATGCTGGTTATTATCGAACCGCCTTGAGTGATGGTCAAAGTCGACGCGGGCGCAGTCTCGACGACAGTGGTTACAACCGTTGAACCAGGCAGAGTCGTCACAGAGGGAGGTAGAGTGATTGTGTTCACTTGGGTGCTGACTAGAGTCAATGTAGTTCCGGGCAAGGTGATTGTCGTTAGCTCGCCTGCAACGGTCGAAATTACAGTCGATCCGGGAAGAGTGATGGTTGCAGGAGGAGGTGCGACGGTGATGGCGTTAGTGACTCCCGGCAGAGTAATCGTAGATGCTGGCAAGGTGAGGGTTGTAATTTCGCCGGCAACTGTTGTGATGACCGTTTCCGGAGGCGAGGTTTTCGTGACTGTTCGAGTGACCGGATAGGAAGAAACTACCGTTCTCACAGAAGTCTCCACGACAGTCGAGTAGAACGTCTCTCGAATCGTTCTATCGCTGGTAAATGTTATCGGTACAGTCACTGGATAGCTTCTCGAAAAAGTGAGGGTTTCAAACAGAGTTGTTGAGACGAAGACGGTCGTCAAAGAAGTCAAATATTCTGTCTTTTTGTCCGTAATAGTTGCGGTTGCCGTTGCGGTTGCCGTTTGTACTTCTGTGTAAGACGCAGTGATGGTCACTGGTGAAGTGTAGGTAACAAGACTGGTGAAAGTTGAGACCAAATAGGAAGTCTTGGTGATTGTGTGATCCGAGGTAATAGTGTACGGGATGCTTGTTGTATAGACGAGGGTCGAGATGAGTGTAGTCGTTGATACCTGAATGGCCGTTCGAGTCACAGGCTGAGTGACTATTGCGGTTCGCTCTTTGGTTTCAAAGATCGTTGTTGGCTGTTTCTGAGTCTCTCTGATGGTATCCGTAAAGTAGTAGGTCTTCAAAGTCGTGTACGTGGTGGTGACGTATTGAGTCTTGCTTGAGACTACAGTCGTTGGAATGATCTCAGTCGAAACAACAGTAGAGATTAGAGTTGAGACGGAAGTTTTGATCCGAGTAGCGGTAACCTCTCGCGTCTGCGTGACTTGCTGCGTCTCGACGGAGGGAGGAAGCTGAACCGTCTGCTTCTGCGTCTGTACGATTGTGGTGGGAACTGGGACTAGTTCCGTGACCTTTGTCGTGCTCGTTTTCCAAATTGTGGTCGTCGTTGTCCGGCAGACTTGCTGGGGAGTCCGCTTCCTGCCATATTCGCCTCCGTATGTTGGCACAGCGGAGATGGTCGGGCTAGGCGCATCTATAGGATCGCAACTAAGGCGAGTTAGCCCGTTTTATCCCATACTTGACCGCACCATGTGATAGATGGAACAGAGATCAATGAGGCGCTCAGATATGTAGAATGGCAAGTCATGGACCTGTGATCCGTCTGCCCCCCGAATTTCGTCCCGGCCCCTATTCCTCGTCTCTCTTCAATAAAGCACCTTTGTCGGATTGAGAAGGCGGCGACGACCTTGGGGTCGTTGAACAGGAGACAGAAGAGAATAAGAAGCCGGACATGTTTGGTGCATTGGAAATGATCGGGATATTGGCGGCTCTGACTTGTCCAAGGCAAGGATATTCGCGGGGAGTTTCTTATACTTACAGAGCCACCGTAGTAGTCACGGGGTAAGAGGAAACCTTCACAATCGTCTTTGTCTCGTAATCTGTGGTAGTGAAGGCTTGCGTGGTGTATACGGTCTCTTTGGAGACGATCGTGAGACTGCTTGGAGTCAGTTGGGCTCTAGAGATGTCGTCTTCGGGATTCCCTAAAAGAAGGGGGCTCACGTGGAAACAACCGGCTTCTCAACGGTCAAGGTCGAGATCTGCTTTTCGGTAACAGTCGAGACCTCTTTCTCGGTAACGGTCGAAACCTGCTTCTCGGTAATGGTGACGGTCTTTCCCCAAGGGCACTTCGAGGCCCAGTGGCTGCAGTCATCGGTGTCGGTGCCATAGTCTGGCGTTTTCTTGTCGGCGCTGGTGGTTGTGGGAGCGGGCTGGGCCTCAACTGAAGAAGCTGGTTCCGCAACGGGCTCCTTGGTAGCTGAGACCGAGGGCGTCGCCGCCGGTCCCGACGAGGACTGAGGCTCAGGCGAAGGAGATGGCGAGGGTGAAGGCTCAGGTGAAGCCGATGATGAGGCTTCTGGCAGAGGTGAAACCGAGTATGCGCCAGACGGGTCAGAATGCGAATCGTTCTGTCTCGCAAACACCGCTCCGCCGTCTTGTGCCGTGACACTGACGGCCAAGGCCCACAAGGCCAGGAGTGATGTCCAACGCATTGCCGTGAGCTTCTGACGAACGAGAGACTATGGTATCCCGAGTGCCCAGTATCAATGCAGCATACAAGCTGGCCGCGTTGCGACAATGGACTAACGAGTGTGGGAGAGCCGCAGGTCGAAGCTGAACACACATGAACGAGTGCCAGTTGGGGATTGGGGGCAGAACAGGCTCAAAGAAGATGATGATGGTACCTGGGGGCTCATATGTATGTACAATGGGGAGACGGGAGGCTGAAGAGCTGAGTTGGCAAGGCAGCCTTACCTGAGCTCAGGATCAGACTGAGGAGGACTCCCGTCAACAGCAGGATGAGGTTCCCCGCAAGCACTAGCCAGAGAGAGCAATCCGTACCTCGTAAGCTACCGGTACGTAGCGCAATGTCTGTTCCGCGGGACCTCCGTCCGAGATGGTGTTGGCAAATGTGGGCGATCTATGGGCTCGGCATCTCGCCAGCTCAACTCTCGAGGTAAGGAGGGAGGGTGTTGGCTAAGTAAACAGGACAATTGAGAGGCAAGAACACAGGATGACGAAGGAACCCAACCACATGGGGAGCTAAGCTCTAGACCAGTCGCCTCTCGTGTGTCGATGTGCCACATACTGGAGGGGTGTGCCTCGGACGGCAGTCGGAGCAAATGGAGATGATATTCTCTGCCATGAGGCTTCGCTTGACTGCCATTGGCGAATGCAGGATCGGGACGAGCGCAATGGAGCACAAAAGGCGAGAGAGCCGATGAATGTGGAACACTAGAGGAGGGGTGTGACGGCCCACTTGGACCCTAGTCCGACCTGCAGAGATGACGGCAGGGATATTGACCGTGGTTGGCAAGCTGTTTCCTTGAAAGGCAGGCGGAGGCCATATGAACGGTCAAAGAGGTCGCTACAACAACGGCAAACGGGTCCGGGTCCAAGGAGAGAGATGTGATCCTCGTGACTTGGCTGCTTGGGTACGCGTCCCGGGAAGACTTGGCCATGCAGCTTACAGAAAGATTCTCCCGTAGGCCAAGTTCAAGATGCGTGACGCAAAATCGTTGCGGGAATCTTGCGGCAGCATCAGTGGATACCATATTCGGAAGATATGGCCTGACTGTGTAAGCCTAATTTACGTTGGCGAGGCGGGGAAACTCGACGGGACCCCAGGTGAGAGAACAGTCTGAGAAAAGACAGAAAGGCCGAAAATCTGAATTGAAGAATAAGGTAGGGTAAGACAGATGGATCTCAGAGGGAGCTACGCACAGGTTGCCGGACTTCGTCCCATCTGCGCCTGAGCCACATGAAGTGAGGTTGGGCGGCCGTGGGGCGGCATCGGCCGACCGTTACTGTCGTCCTTGGGTTGGGAGGAGGCGGGTGGCATTGGCAAGGGCCAAGACCGATGCAAACATAAGGAACTTTTGCTCAGATGGGGGCCCTGAGTGGTTGGCTTTTGCTCCTCTTGCGCAAGATTTGACCGTCGAGCTGCACGCCAGGGTCGAACACTCGAAGCTGTGTGCAATATTGCCTCGTTGAATGGGCCCAGGTCTTGAACACCAAAAGGTGGTGGAGACGGCAAGCAACGTAACGGGCAGACTTCCGTAACTTTAAAGCCTAGGCATGTCCGGGAAGCGGGAGGGTGGCAGGCATGCGGGATGCGAAGCGCCTGCAACTGTCGAGGTCCGGCATGGGGAAGGAGATTGAAGATCATCGACCCAGATATGCAGACGATATTGCTTTCGGATAGCCAGGTAAGACGAAAACTAGGTTGGTCGAGTGACTGCTCGTGGCAAAGAATATAAACATGAACCGAAAACCCGATCAATGTGCAAATGAGAAAAGCTGGGAAGCAACTTCCGCCTGCCCCTTGCGGATACTCGGTCGTCGGTGCCAGAGCAACGATCTTGCCATCTTGGTTTCTGAGAGAGTGATTGCCCGGTCGATTGCAGCGGGTGAGACCGAAAAGAAACCCGGGTAGTACAGCAGGTGCCACTGGTGAACCTTGCAGCATGATCCAAGAGTGTGAATGGATGACGATCTTGTCCAGACTTCGTGTCTCTAGAGCCGTGTGATTATTGATTCGATGGCGGGTTTCATGGTACCACCTTGGAAGAACACCCGAATCAAAAAAAAACCCTAAGTCATGAGCAGGAGATGCTTCTCATCCTCACAGAGTTGTTTCCATCTCTGCGGTCGTATTGCCGACGAGCAGGAAGCTGCGACTGAGAGAGCCAGCCAGCCCGAACAGCTTCTCACAGCGAGATACTTCAGTTCGATTGAAGGATTGAGACTTGATTCCAGCAGGGATCTGATCCTTGGCCGTGTCTTTGATTACGGTACACCTGTCAAGCTCTGCAAGGCTTGAGTGCTCGCGTTGAAGAGGGGATATTTCTGCTCGCCACCGCCCACATTGTGCAATCCTCGTGTAGTCGTATGTGATCTGAGTGGCTAGACCGAGAAATACTGAAGCCTGATGAGAAAATGTGAGTGAGCATGAGGGGAGGTCCGGAGGTGTCAGCACAGAAGGATGAGATGACTAGGGACAAGGGGGATGAGTGAGTGAATGAGTGATTGAGTTAGTGACAATAGAGATGAACTAAGGCGGAAGGAGGTTAGCTCAGGAACAGGGGAAACGTGCTCCCGCCCTATGGGAGGAACTGCTCGTGGTAGCCATGCCGTTTTGGGAGTAGCTTGATGACCTAAGCTTGAAGAGGGAAAGAGGGGTAAATGGGCAACAGTGGGTCGCTTCCGTCTGTGCTTATCCACACTTCAAGCCTTCCCAAAGTAGAAGCTGTGATTGGCTTGGATGTTCATTACCTCATCAGCGCTAAACCATATTGACTTAGCTGCCACTCCACCTTCCCTCGTCGCCGTTTGGTACTCCGTACTTTATTTCGTTTCCACCTTTCTCTCTTCACCTCGCGGTCCGCCAACAGATGTTTCCGTCCACCGGTCAAGTCGGCATCGTGAATGTAGGCTACAACTCCGCTTCTAATAAGGTATTGGAACCAGAAATACTCCGTACCGCCTGGAGTCATCTCGTTGTCTACTCGTTCGCCGCCTTCTATCTTACCCTGAGCCCCGTCAGAATCCGACACGCCATCTGATAATGCGACGTTGTGCGCCTCCAGAGGCTCAGACACCACCATCTTTCTCACCGACAGACGATATTACAAGGATCAGTCTTACTTGGTCAATCCCACAGGGCTGACACCGTCATCTTTCCTCCCCATTCAATGAGCCGTTCTCTTTATCCGTGCCTGCTCTGGGAGGCTGGAGACTCGAACGAAGAGCTCATCCGAACGTCCTTGTCCCCGATCCTGGCCTGCTCCCGCAGCTTCAACTGTGCTGGTCCCATCCAGACCCCGCAGGTCCAACTTGGCGACCCGTCTATTGACTGACTTGCAGATGCTTAACCCCTGTAATGGCCACTGCCACCACACCATTTCCTATGCAAGCTGATGCCGGGACCGCTGCACCAACGTGGTAATCAGAGGCACAGACAGCATGTTGCTGCGTCCAACATGCTTTTAGAATTTTTCTCCCGCTTACGCACCTACTCGTAGTTTGCCTTCTCGAACCATATCACATTTCTCCAAGTGGTGTCCCGCTGGAACCGCAAGTTTATCCGGAATATCGACGAGTCACCTGGCCTCGGCTTCCTTACCACTATGAGTAAAGACACGGCTTTTTGCTTACAATAAGGTTCACCAAGCTTTGCAACAACTGGGAGCAAATACCACAGGAGCAAACTGTGAACTGGAATTTCTCCCTGCGGCGTGTCTTTGTTATCTCGTCCGACTCGCAACGTAGGTATTATTTGGCTTGTCTTTGTTGTCCGCCTGGTCTTGCGAGGCTTGTGGTGCTGGACGGTGTGTGCACCGTATGCCAAGAACACCGTATTGCTTGCCTATATGGTGGTCCTGCTGCTGTTGTGTTCCAGGTCGCAGCCTGCTTGCAACACACCTTTAGTTTCTGTGGTTGTGCAGTTTGCCTTCGTCTCGAACATCGATACGAGTTTAAGACCTTTCGGAACAACGCCTATGGCAATCAGAGGCTGTACTGGTGAGACAAGTGTCTTCCTCGGTCTCCTTGTTTCCTCCTGTGGTTCTTTGGCGTACATTCTGAGCTGAATGTAGCCATGGATCGTAAGAACGCTCTGAGTGGATGACGAGGCTGAGCACTTTCCAGTCAGCTGCAATATTCTCTACGGCAGACGAAGACATCCGTTGCCCCTCTCTACCCGCCAATCATTTTGTTGTATGTCTCCCATCCTCATGTGGACAGGTACGAGCTTCCCATCTGTGCAACTGGTCTTCCAAAGGACCGCCGAGCCCGGTCTAGAGTAGTGCCCGATGAGTTGCATACACCCATCTCTTCTTCTTCTACTCCGTACCCTCCTTGTTCACGCATGCCTCGAGTCAAAGTGGTCCAGCGACCCAGCCTTACATAGTTCTAGTGAGACCTCGGGCGAAATCCTCCAGTGGCAACCATCTTATCAGCTTTCCTGCCGACTTGTTGGCCCTGTCCGTGCTGTCTCATCCGGTTCCATCTCGTTGCCACCGTACCGGTCCGTCTTTTTGAGTACATGGAGAGAGCGATACTGCGGGGTCGATCGAAGTGTGTGTGTGCTCTCTCGACATCCGCCTCGAATATTCGACACCTTCTTCCAAACAAAGAGGTCAAATTCGCTGTTCCAGTGACATCCTCACTTAGTCATAGGCACGGTCAGCACTATCAGCCTCAATTCCCCTCCCCGGACTGGGTGCCCTTTTCTTCGCCAGTCATTCCCGCCGCAAGCCAGCCGGGCTTATGCTCCCCATACACTGACACTTTCCCACCACTGCTTTCGAGAAGGGTTGCCACCGTTCCTATTAACGCAGTGTGGTTCCCCAAATAAGCACCATAACCAGCCGCAATGCGCTGAGACAGCAGCGGGCGGCCTGAATTTCTTCCTATCGCGTTTCCGAATCAGCAAAATCACGAAGCCGTCGAGAGAATGGTCCTTGTGAATACCGCCTTACTGGTGGCCGTCGCGGGCCTCGTAAATGCCCAGTATGATGGGTGGGATCTTAAGAAAGGCCAAGTGAGCTCGTCCATGTGTTATTGGTACGCACCAAGAGGTTTGCAATACCGAATCGTCCCTACTAGGCAACATCTGACAAGATCAAGCTGCCGTCATTCGAGATACGCTATGGCTAGATGGTGGAAGTCTGTATTGGACTCCAACATACGGGGATGGGTCGACCGGAAACCCAACGACTCTAGGTGAGTCCATTTTGGCACATCCTGCGATCGATTATTGACACGATTATTGACATCTTCAGACAACCCTCTGGGTCTGATGTACTCACTCAACTTCAGCAAGCCTTTCGACAAAACAACAAACATCACCAAGCTCATCGATATCCACTCAAAAGCTCCCTCGGGAAGTGGTAACGCCAATAGCTTCGCTCCGAATACTATCGACGGTGCCCTGCTCTACAATGATGCCGAGTTCTTCTTGTATGGAGGTGTTTTTGCCAAACCGACGGACGCTTACGACCCTCCACCCGGCGACAAGGCACTAGTATGGCGCCTCTACGAGTACGGCGCAGAAAAGGCCGCCTTCAACAATGGAAGCGATCAAATGACCTTGGACAACGGCGTGACTCGGTACGTTGCCCATGGCGGGGCTGCCAGTGCTCCTTCGGAGAACAAGGCCTGGTATGTGGGTGGAATGCGGTCACCTCTTTGGAGTGACATGTATCAGGGAAGTACGAACCGGTCTCTAAATGCTGTCAACGCCTCCAACACCCTCATCACTCTTGATATGTCCACCCAAATATTGGAGACGTTCTCCAACCAGACCCTGCCGAGCAGTATCAAGGCCAGGGCAAATTCTGAGGTCGTCTGGGTACCTGTTGGGGCTGAGGGTATCCTCGTCGTTCTTGGCGGAGTGACATATCCCGAATACGTCAATTCCAGTCACAAGTCCGATAATGCTGTCAAGAGCGTGAGTCCCACGTTTCTTGTTTCTAATCTACCAATCTAACAACATTCATAGGCAAGTGAAAGTCCTGCTTTCATGGAGACCATCGACATCTACGACGTAGCCGGCAATAAGTGGTACCAGCAGAAGGTTGACGGGACAAAACCACCTGCCCTTACGCGGGGCTGCGCTGTACTTGCGCCAGCTCAGGACTACTCTAGCTTCAACATTTACTACTATGGCGGTTACGATGGAATCCATCCTAAAGAAGACTTCAGCGACGACGTCTGGGTTCTGTCGATACCTTCATTCCAGTGGACAAAGGTTTACGAGGGGACAGCTCTCCACGCTCGTGCTGGTCATCAGTGCGTCATGCCATACCCTGACCAAATGATGGTCATTGGCGGCTATGCGCCGATGCCTGGTAACGGATTCCCACCATGTCTCGAAGGGGGGATCATGCAGGTCTTCAATCTTTCTAGTGCAGAGTGGCTCGATGGGTATAGCCCCACGAAATGGTCGAACTACACCGTCCCCACCGCCGTCCGCAGCAAGATTGGAGGCGATGAGAAGGGTTCGGCGACGAAGACGACTCCAGAGCCATCTGGCTGGTCTGATCAAGGACTGGCATCCATATTTGCGACACCCTATGTCACCTCAAAGATTAACACATGGTACCCATACACTGAAGCCAAGGATCCTGGGCGTCCCACCGTCACGGGTGGCGGAGACAACAACAGCAACGGCGGTGGTGGAGGAACCCCCAAATGGGTCGCCCCTGTTCTCGGCGTCGTTCTCGGACTTGTCCTCATCACTGCCATCCTCGTCGGCTTCTGCCTGTGGCGTCGTCGCAGAATACTTAGACGAGGCAATAGGACGGCAACGCATACAGACGACAATGGGTCTAGAATCATCTCCTGGATTAGAGGCCAGCCCAGCGAACCGGCTAAGGCGCCTACTGTCACGACTGAGGAAGCCTCTTCCCAAGATATGGCCGAGGTCCGCACGCCGCCCCCTGCCCCAGCGGCATCGCCTGTGCCCCAACAGGTGCATCATGAGATGGCCGACAACCAGATTGCAGAGCTGCCAGGTAAGACTTTGCTGACGAATCTGCCTGATCAAGCACTAACAAAGAACAGACACTTCGCGGCCGCCAGAATTACACGGTACAGGTCTCACCCCTATCGAGATTATCAACAAGCACACGCACTTTGGCACCGGTGGCACATCCAACCCCGCAACGACACACCAATCGTCCTACTACGCCTCCGTCTCCTCCAACGAGAATGCCTCATCGCTCTCCCGCTCTTCGGGCGTCCTTGGGTATCAGACCCGCGCCCAATCGCCCGACCCAGGTCCACCGTCGCCGCCCATCAGCAACGCTGCACCCGCTACCACTACCGGACGCGTCGGGTCCGACGTCTCTGGTCTCAGCGACCAGGAGGCGCGGCACCTGCGGCACATCAGCGAAGCCACTGTCAGTTCTGCCTCATCGGGCGGCGAGCAGGACGGTCCGGCTATTCGGGAGCAGCCACGTAGCGTTCCGGAGACGGTGCCGGAGACTCCGACGCCCGGGCACCCGAGTCCGCTGAGCCCGCCAACAGGGGCATCGGATGGCGATGATTACATTAGTGCAAGGATGCTGCCGGTTAGTCCCGCTGGTACTGCTACTATGAGAAGGAGTATGTTTCACGAGAGTGAGGATGATCTCGGTTCGAGGAAGTAAACGACTGCTATGGACGGAGGTCTAGATGTGGGCCGGTTTATTCATTCCTATTTTTGAATAAAAACAATGTTGCCATCTACCCAGGTGATATAATGACACTAATTTTGCGTGAAGACCGGTAGGTAATGACACGGTCTACCACATAAACAAGACTGGATACGCTGTAATCCGCCGCAAGAATTATAAGAATCAGTACGGAAGCACTGGAACTCTCGTCTCAAAGATGGCTGTCGGGGGACCTTCGGTGCTGGAAGTTTCCCACACAATGTTACCAGGATCAAAGAGCAGAATCGAATCCGACGTCCAAGACTGCACCCATCGACACTTTTGGCTGCCATTTTCCTCCTACTCTAGCCCAACAAGGAGCAACAGAGTCCTGATGAGAGGAGAGACTGATATGTCACATAGCAGGGTGAGAGATAGGGTAATTGAAGTATCGCCGCGTCCGAAATATGCGAAGGTGAAGACGAATATGAAGACGACCAAAATGACGTTGAATCCGGTTATGGTGAAAATGGCAAGGCGAAACAACGGTGATATCTGATAAAACTCCAGTCCAAACTGTGAAGAACCTCAACTTAGATGTTGGATCCCTTGATTGTCTTCCGTGTGCTCTCGGGAGGTTGTGGGGTGCTGCTGACTGTAATCGAATGCTACTTGCGCCCTCGCACATATTCTTACGAGGTGCGTCAAACCCCAGAACATCTGCAATTGAAAACACACTTGTGCGGAAGAGTACCTCTGCTGTAAAAGAGCCAAGCAACTCTAAGTATGCCCAGTCAAACAGTCATGCTGCGGTTACTGTTCTCGCAGCGAGACAGGTATCATAGAGCCCATAGACAAGCCCCTTCGCCTATGATCATAACGAGAACTTTGTCCCGTGCCGTTTTTCAAAGGCGTACGTAACAGGGCGGTGTACCGCGACTCGTCTAAGACTCTAAGTCACTCTTGATATCAAGCTAAACACCACCATTATCTTAGATAGAGCTTTTCAGGGTCACAAATCGGTCTTGTCCCCATAAGATCTGAGCTTTCTGCGCTGTAGTAGTTGCAGAGACGAGAGTTTCTATAAGTTCTTCCCAGAAGGTCATTGCTGGATCTGTCTGAATCCACTATGAGGCCTCGAGACATGACTTTCAATCGGTACGCCGATGATCGTTTCGCCGAGGTGCAGAATCACGACCAGGAATATGAAGATTTGATGATCTATGAATCGTCTCGTGCCTAAGTGGGGTCGAGTGGTTTCTCAGATATGTTTGCTTAGCAGCTAGGTAAGTGACAGTCGAAACCAGCTTTAGGGAATTCGGAAAGCCAGTCAGTCAGAGGTTCAGGCTTCATATATTTGGATCGGTACTGACTCAATGATAACTTGAGATGTCGCTGAGACCACGACGTTGCTAATCAAGACCTTGAGTCTTACGATGATCTGGGAATCCGCCATGGCAAGGACGCACTATGTCGTCAAGTAGGTTGGCTTGAGATAAGGAATCAATCGCCCCTCTCCCTTGCGACTCATATGAATCGACCATCATGCAGAAACAGGGAAGTACTGGTATCTTGTGCAATGTTGAAAGCGTTTCCCAAGCAGTGCCTTCGTTCTTAACTTTTCGCCGAGCAGACTCAAGCCACCCAGACCGACTTTTCCAAGAGACACTCAGAGTCTTCTCAGGACAGCCATATCGATATAGTTCGTATTCTTAGTGTTTTGAATAGATTCTTCTGTTGTTCGGAATGCATCGAACATTGGACTGTAAATGAAGGTGAAGTGCTTTGTGAAGTGGGAGCAGAAGTACAATAACCGTACCGCTGCCAATAAAGCCGATAATGACCTTGCTCACAATCAGCTTGAGCCTTCTGTAAAGCTTTTGAATGGGTATTTCATACTGATCCTCATTTCGATGTCATCAAGATTGAGTCTTACGCAGTTTCGTTCGCTATATTCGTAATCTTCCATTTCTGTTAGATAAGAACACATTTCTGATGCCAAGTGAGGTTTTCTAAACGCAGACGTCTAGGGGCGAGTGGTTCAAATTCCAGGCTATCAAAGACCTGATAGAAACCATTGAACACACCGTAGAAAGCTCAACGTTGTATGGGAGCTCCCAGCTTGATCCTACAATACCTTGTTGAGAGTCGAAAGATCGCCATGAAAGATAACATGGGGTGTGAGACAATTTACCAAGTAATTGTGGGCTTTTTGCATCCCCCTATCAGAGGTGACCAGTCTCGCGAGTAATCCAAAACGTACGGCAGTGAGTCTTCACCTGAAGCGGTAACGTCACGCAAGCTGCTCGGTGTAGTCTGATACTCAGACAGGCTTCTGTTCACTAGTCGTTAGGTACCTTCGTAGTAAAATACAACATTCGGCAGCATCGCCATTGGCTTCGCGATGATTCGGTGCCTCGAAACCTGTTTGACCATACGCTGGCGCGCACTTACAGCATGGCACTGTCCGCCATCAGTCCGAAGTAATAGAAAGCTAAGAACAAAAGAAATTTGCCAGCGAGTGAAGCATTACAACGAATGCGTGGTTAAAATCCTGTGACGATTCACAAAGGGAAAAAAGAAAAATTAGGTAACCTATCTTGCAAGGAGCTATAAATGTAAAAGCACAAGTCTAATGAGTGTCTCTGCGGTAAGGACCGAACAATTCTCAAAGGTTGCCTGAAAATACCAACGCTGTGCGGACCAATTAGAGCTTAATCGATGAAGAAATTTCTGGAATGACTTACAGTGAGGTTTAGGAATGTAGGTAACAACTTTCCCTAGACTTCTCTGCTCAACTGAAGTAGCAGTCAAGAGACCTCTCAGTATCGAGGTCGACAACCTCTGCGCAGGGTTCAATGCCTGTGCAGTCGACTTCTTCAGGAGTCAAATATAATTCCGCGACAGAGTCTCCGAAAGTTCCATCCCAGTCTACGTCGTCTTCTGCCTCTGGAATGGTGTGATGAGGATTATTGTAAGGAAGAGATTCATATCCCTCCTGTTGTAATCTAGTTATCGTGGTGATTAAGTCCTGCGGATCTTTGCCATATGAAGGCCTCGATATTTGATCAAGATTACAAGACTGTCCATTACTTGGAGGTGGAATGGGCCTTTCCAGAGACTGTGACATTCGAAATCTTTTCGAAAAAATTTGGTACGATTTGGCCATCAATCCATGAAGGGTATCCTTGAGGCAGACATCATTATTGATCTGCAATCTTTTTGTTTCCATGAACCTTGAGACAATCTGGTCGCCTTCATGCTGCCAAAAGTTTTGCAGCATAGCGGTTACTTCTTCAATGACTGTTCCCATGTAGCAGTCTTTGGGTCTTGGTTTTGGCTTGAAGATCTCGTCCCAAACGGTGTTCTACTGTTCCTCGGCCTTATCCTTCCTGCTTACTTTGGACTTTAGTAAGTCTTTTGCGTGTGGTGGGACGAAATCGAATTCCCCATCTGTCGGAAAGCATGGAATAATCGATTGATCTTGCATGTGCTGAGACTTCTCTGATACTGTTGTGAACCTCTTGTAGCAGGTTGTGCAGTAGTAAAGAGGCTCTGAGTGCCGTCGCTGGAGGTGTTGTTTAACATCTCGAATTCGAAGCATTTTCAGACCTAGGCAGGCCGTATGGCGAGCTGCATTGTTTCTGTAAAAAGGACATGCAAAATATCGACTCTGGAATTTCACATTGGCCTCATCGTCTTCAGCAAGTTCATTCGTGCGAACCTCAAGATCAGAAGGCGGAGAGGTGCATCGCTGCCGCTTGATAGGCGCATCGTCCATAGGCACTAACCTCTCCAATTTGCGCTTGGAACTGGAGGGAGCCTCTAGCTCCCCTGAGGGTTCCACGCATTTCGAAATGTCATCGCCGTTGACGTCGATGCGGGAATCGGACGCCGTAGGATAGCTTGGAATAACACACTGAAAATCCCCAGATTCTGCAGTTGTATAGCCCTTGGCTTTTACCATCGGATAGTTTTCCTGAACTTTGAGCTCCCCTTCGAAGTTCTGGGACTCGTTGGAAACTACCACTCGAGGGTCTCTCCCATAGTGCAACGAAGGAGATGTCATTCTGGTGGATTCTGACAGAGCAGTCTGCGGCGTAGTACCTCCTGAACGGGGGCTTTGTGCGTCGCAGTTCCCCTTTTCGAGAGAGAATGAATGCTCTAGGTCACCTATGTACGCTGGTAAGTGATTTGAGCATCATTTAGACAGGTTGCAAGACTTACTAGCTGCTTTGAAACTGCTGAACCGGCTTCCTATGCTGGAGTAGAGATTGATCGACCACAGAGTTGCATCGGGGGAGTGAAATGTTGAGATAGAAGGATACGTAGACAGGCTAACTCCAATAGGCGTTTTGAGAGAATGAATATTCCGGACGAGAGATTCATCAATATCATTGCCTCCCATTGAGTTAAATTCACACTTCTCGCTCGATCTTGGCTCTCGTGCTAGTAGCTCAAGCTGCCAGCGTTTGTCGACTAAGCATCCTTCTGCCGGCGTACTGTTTTCTCTTGATGGTGCAGAATCTTTAACTTCCAACGTTGATACCATTTTCTTCTCTGTATAGAGCGCATCTTTTGGACGGAGAGCTCGAGGAGACCGCCGAGAGGCAGTACTGCTGCCATGTGCCTTCACTCCATTCTTCGGGCGGCTCTTCGTCGGACTTGAGGGACATTTATTACCCACAGGTGCCATCAGAGCTCTAGCAGTCGATGGCTTTGGGTGGCTCAGTCGGGACTCTGATCTAGTCATTGAGATTCTGGGGGAGTTCGGCTCCAAGATGTCGCGAAATCATCGCTATGAGGTTCTGCACAGTAACGTAGGAAGGCTTATGTCCACAAATCAGTGAGCGGACTGTTGCCTAGATCATGATCGTAAGAAGGGGATTCCGGAGCAAGCCCTGCAAGAGCGCTAAGAATGCTGTGAAAACCACTTTGCGCATTTGTGACGGTCGGAGACCAACACATTACTAAATACAAAGGTGCAAGTGTACGTACTCATACAACGTAATCGCTCAGGCTCCAGCCCTAGGCCTAAGGAGTAATTACAACGACCTTCACGGCTATCAGAAGTTCATTGTAAGGCTCAACCACGACTAATCACTAGCGTTATGGCAAGAGTCGAAGACTTTCCCTTCATGAGAAGTCGGACCTAGAACGGTAGGTAAGTAAGAAAACAAGGCCACCATGATGTAGTAACAACGCAGTTTAGATTGCTACCTCATTTCGACACATCTTTTGCCACACTTGGATTGGGATGGAGTAAGTTGGCTCTGAATTTTCTGGAATACAAGCAGCGTGAGCGTACAACGTAAAACGCGCCGAGTTGTCGGCACTATATTATTGTTGCAGTTACATGACCCCATCCATTTATTGTTTAATCGCTTCCCGTACTACGCATACCGGCTGAGGTTGACTTCAATCTCAGGTCCTTGCTGCAGACTCATCCTCTATCGCTTAAAGTGACCTGGTTCCTCCAAGCGCTTTACGCACTTTCAAGACTGGTGAAGGCTTTTTAGCAAGTGTTCTCGGCTACGTTACATCGGATACGGGATCTTGCTCTTGTGCAGTTGCCTGAAATTTGTCTGGGTCTGCTGTAGCATTGCGGCTGCAGAGCTTCTTCCCAAGTCCCCATCAAATTTTTGCCTTGAAATTCTCGGACTATTGAACCGTAACCATCTTCGAATCCCCTTTGATAAACTGCCTATGGTTTAGAGCAAGAGATTCGTGCTAATAGAGGTTAGTCACGACAAGCATTGACTGCTATATTGAACTGAGATTGATACCAAATTTCTGGACAGATGACTTTCCTCGGTGTGCGTCCCAAGCAGGCTCTCGCGCAAAAGCGCAAACGTTCACATTAGGGATAATTTACAATTGTGCAGACGCGTATCTTACTTTTGAATGTGCTAGACTGCTCCGTTCAAAAGTGATTTAAGGGCGGTTAGGGTTGCCATCCCGGCCGTTGTAAGCAGGCATTCCGACAAGGCGGACAACATCTTTTCGAAAAAGAATGGCGTAAGAGAATAGTAAGTCGTAGCACATACTTACTTATATTTGCCTGCATTCCAGCCAAGTGCCTTCCGTGTACTTCACCTAGGCTGTGCTTATCTTTGACCCACATAGCCTGGTTTGAGTCTGGCCAATGTTGTACACCTTGTGTTCATGTCAGAAGTCCGTCGATGCAAGCAGCCATGCAGCCCAAGAGTATTTTCGTGCAATTTCTGGTTCCCTCCATTCTTCTCTTTGGCACTCTGATCTGTCTTCATCGCCCTTTTCTGTGGTGTCGAATGGCCTACAGGTCTCACGAGTCCCACCCTGCGGCTCCCACAGGCCCTGAAGGACCATTTACTCATACCTATTGCTCGATCATGCACATGCCTCTCAATAGCGTATGGCCTGTCAACCGCATACACCTTGAATTCAATCATGACTTTGAGCTGTATTTCACCAGATACCCTAAGCCAGCTGTGAGATTCATTCGCTTTATCGCACGACGAACGTTGCGGTGGGCGAATCAGTTATACAAACATTCCAGTAAGTTGCAATATTAATATATAGCCGGGTTCTTCGTTGTTACATCGTCTCTAACACCTGGAACTAGTATTGCGGAACATTTTAAAGACTTTCATTGATTATGCTGGAGCTGGTCTAGTCAGACTGGCCATCTCTTTTGGTTTTCCGACCCGTATCACGGAAGAACCATCACCCAAGACCTGCATCGACCAACAGAAGCCGAAGCCGAAGAGAAAGGCTAAATTGAGAAGCTCAGCCAAGGACAAGGGGAAGAAAAGAGGTGTCAATTCCTCAATCATACCCCTGGAGGATCTTGAGGAGAGCGAACAGAGCGGAGATGATGGCGATGATGGCGATGGCGGTGAGGACGAGGACCCGAATATGCTTCAAGACACGGCCCCCCGACTGATGGGATGCCCATTCTATAAGCTCGACCCTATCACACATTATCGCTGTGTCTAGAAGCACAAACTCGTCGGCTTCAATCGATTGAAGCAGCACATCGAACGATGCCACTACATAACCGAGTTTTACTGCGCTTTATGCTGGACTAAGTTCAAGAACGCTGATGCTCGCGACCAACATGCTCGGGCTGGCGGTTGTCAGCATCTTCCCAGGTCCGAGGATTTCATGGCCAATGAAATTCAGGAGCTGCGAAGGGATATGCCTCGACGTGCGAGCGACCGAGAGAAATGGTTCTGGTTGTGGGATCGTTTCTTCGCGGGGCATCCTCGGCCAGAGTCACCGTACGTTTTGGAAGGTATCTTGGAGCCTTTCAGCCTCCTTGCGAGGATCGCCATGCGCAATGCAACAACTACGGACTTTTTCAACTGGACTCAATATCAGATGTACCCGCCTTATCAGCTACCAGGGCTCTGGGAAGGTGTTCTCAGCCAGTTACTCACCTTACGTCATGAGCGCGCGCCTCTGTCTAGGCGAGTTCCACGAGAGTCACCTGGCGACAGATCCATCCTAGTCAGCGACGCGCACCTGACGACTATGGGATATGGGCTACCATACCCAGTTCATTCGAATGCAATTAGCAACTTTGATTTCCTTTTACAGGACCATCCAGTATTAGACTTGGACGGTGGTGTGGGTCACGCTTCTTCCTCGACCGCACGTATTCTTGGAGATGGAAATCCTGAAAGCTCGTCAGCGAACTCCGTCAGTGTTCAAAATAACTGGAACCCGTCTGCAATCATACACACAGACGAAAGAATTTCTCGTGGAGTTGCGCCGCCGGAAACATCCCGTCCGATGGAAATGGAGGACGTCTTCGACTTTCAAGATGGGTCGGAAAAGGAAGGCCCCCCGGGGTAGAAGCTCGTACGTCCGATCGCACGAGATCGTTCGCTTGATCGATTGCAGACTTATTACAGTGCTTTATATGAAGAAATAGAATGGCGTGTTGGCAACTGTCTGGAATTATAACGATAATCAAATGAGGGAATGAAAGAATGAAGGAATGAACTTTCATCATCACTGACATTTATTGATGTTCCGCGCTATAAAGGAGTTTTTGGTGGATTTTACAAGGCTTGTCGATTTTCCCTTTCATACACTGCCCGTACATAGCTCATATTATTACGGAAAATTCAACCACTATCTACTTTTGAGTACCGAACGTGACCATTTCCTACACCAAGTCAGCCAAAGTCAGGGAATGAAAGACTTCCAGCGCTCCAAACTCGTCCCGGTCTAGGGACAAAAAGCCTTTCCCGGACACATACTCCTCAATATATTCCCTGCCCTTCCTGTTCCAATAGTCCCGAATTTTGGATACCTGAAGACCGAGGTCGTCTATAAGGTAAGGAGAGGCGCAGGCCGGGGCATCAGGACATGCCACCGCGAAAATGCCTGCCCACGTCTCCGCCTCACCCAACTCCCACGTCGTTACATCCATGATCCTCTTCAGCTGGTTTCCATCAATTCCTTCAATTCTACTAGGATTTCGAACCTCGCATACCTGTTCCCGGATGTGATTGTCTCTAGCCATCGTTGTTTCAAGGATGATTCGGCATCTAGGGCAATATGGCGGCTTCCAGTGGTGTTTTCGAGTATGTTCCACAACGCCCTCTATCGATCGCAGATCGTCATTTAACAGACATTGCTGATATTTAACAGGATTTATCGCATAGAATGGGCACGCAAGATGAAAATAACCGTCGACGGGGGGTATGATACTGATGTCGTTCGGGACATCTTCAATATCCTCGAAATCCGACTCCTCACTCGTGTAGTGCGACTCTGAGTCCATGATCTTTATTCTCTTCCGAGGCAGCCGGCTACCTCGTGGTGTAGTGTAGTTTGTTGAAGCTGCCCACTTTCGTACTCGTTGGCTGAAATGACGGAGCAGGCCATTGCGCTCGGTTCGGAACTCGTGATTCGGGACCAGTGATGTTCTTTCGTGCACTTCAATTGTATGGGTTTGCCACTCCCTGTCGCCATCATCGGCATCTTCATCCTCTCCCTTCTCATCGCCGACGTTGGGAACCTCCAGGCCCAAGACATCCTCGGGGTAGCTACATGGGCTGCAAGCATCTTCATGCAACAGGCAGGACGAGCTGGTGTGGGTAGACCCAAGTGGACTGGCCGAGCATTCGCTGATATTAGCCATCAGTTGACCCGATCTCTTTCTCTTCTTAGATAAGTTGCTGATGCTCTGTGATGTCTCTGCATCTATGTCGCGGGCTGCCAGAATTCGACAATGTTTGGTGTCCTTGAACCCCTGCACAAGTTCTCGTGAGCTAACTCGAACGAAATTGTTCTCCCACATCTGAATACGGATGCCGAGTCGTTTCTCGGAAGTAGAGCAGATTTCCAATATGAGGGAGGAATCTCTCGATGATGTCAGTGTGTCGAGAAGAAGACCGTTGCGATGAAATTGAACATTGCCGTCGAAAGTCCAAGGCTGCTGAAATAAAGGGAACTCGTCTGTACCCGAGAGATGGCGGAACTCATCCACGGATCGTGGGAGAAGTCCCCGGGCAAATTGGTCATCGTTGCTGGTCCAGGCAAAGATAGAGCCATCCATGTTATTACGTATTATCTTGTTAACAAGACGAGCAAATGCTTGTGTTAATCCTTCGCCGTATCTAATGGAAATGTTAATTCCAGCAATGCCTACCAAGGAATAAACCGCGTCTTCGGTCCGAGTAGCTTCTCGTCCGGCCGCCCACGACAGTCTGACTCCGATTGCAACCCGTGAGAAGGCTTTGATGTCTGATAAGATTTCTTTGTCGATCCGGGTAATATTCTGAAGAATATCGAGAAGATATGGTGACGATTTGGCACCTCGGTAGTTCCAGTCGGCATCAAAGAACTCTACGTTTGGAGGTGCAACCAGCTCCTGGAGTGTCCAGCTTCGAGTCCAGTATCTGCAGTGGCGCCAACATTCTTCCAGCAAGACAGATGACGGAGAGAGTTCTTTAAGATATACAAAGCATACTGTTGCCGCTTGAAGCAAGCGAAAGGAAGCGCTTACAGCGTGTTGCAGTTCCAAGGACGAGGTCTTGTCAACGCACACAGATCCAATCCAGAGGAAGTCCAGGCCACGAGAGTTTGCCTCATGGCAGGCTTGAGTAATGGTAGGACTTAGATGAATAGGTGTTGACTGCAATGAAAGTTTCGGAACTCCGCAAGGAAACAAAGTTGAGGCGTGCGATAGCACCGCAAAGGGAGGTAGGTTGAGGTCGGTGAACTCAGTCAACTGATAGGACCGAGTCTGAATGAGTTTCATGGTCTTGTGTTACTGGGAAAAGTCTGTGAGTGCAAGAGCATTTGAGATATTCGCGACGGCGAAAGGCCGTCCTTTTGTAGGCACCATTAAGTGTAGAATTTTGGGTATGTTCATCTTTGTGCTTGAGACTGAGCGAATCAGGACGCTCAGAGAATGGGCACAGAGGTGCTGTGCTCAAAGATGTAGCTGCCCGAATCCTACCAATCAAACCGTGAAATTATGTCGCAAATCAGCTGTGAATGGAAAGGTGATATTGCTGTCTTAGTTGGTTGGACGTACCCGCACAATTGTGCAGGCGAAAACGCTCCAATCATGTTACCTTTTCGAGAGGGTCTTAAGTCCCTAACCGTCCGTTAATGGCGGCAAGCATAACAATCAAATCTTGACTACTCCTCGTCCTTCTGCCTCTGGAAACAGACTAAACGAAAAGTTTGTTTTGTCCAAAGACACACCTGCTTTCAATATTGAGCAACTTTGAAAGTCCGGCGCCAGCGGAGCTTGGCCGTCGTTCAGACCTGACTCCGATTATCTCGGTGTAAATGCTTGAGATTGCACTATATAACCGAAAAACATCCTTCTTCAGTGAACGTTAGCAGTGGCCGTCAATTATCGCTGTGGTAAACTAGGATTCTCAGTTACGATATATATTAGCTTACATCTAGAGCTAAACTTCATCGTCGGAATAAGCACTACCGAGTTTGCGTCGAGAAAGCGCAGAGGTAGCTTTCTGGTCTCTACATCAACGCCATTCTCGCCGTCACCCCCAGCGAAGCCTTCATCATCACGGCTGTATACTGCTCCGTCTGACGCTGTTGCATATATACCGTCGTCCACGGATTCCTCCTCTCTCTCGAAGGCTCCAAGCAAATGTTGACTCCAAATGTCGCCCCATGATAGAGAACACTGGTCGGCTTGTGCTGTGCCATCAGATGTCACCGAGCATATCGACGATGAACTGAAGAAGGAGCTACATCTCAAAACGACTAGGAGATGCTCTGATTTGGCAAGCATGTTCAACATCCAAAGATCAACCCTGTCTCTACTCGACTTTCCAGCTCCCAGCTTGGTCAACACACGGAAAGTCTTCGACACAGGCCCAAGCATGGGCCACTCGGTAGAGGTATCTGGGCACGCCCGTTCGAACTCCACGATGCAGTGCTTTCCTAGGTGACATCTGTCGCGATGCTGAAATGCGCTCTTCAGATTAGAATATCTCGTTCCGCTTTGGCACTCTCTGCAAGACTTGCATGAGTCGACTGATGCCCTTTCCCTTGAGTCAAACGAAAGGAACCAGCTACCGAGGTATACAGGACGTTGTCCGCCTTCTTTCTCTTGGGATGTAGGAATGTTTTGGAAAAAGAATTTTGGTTTCGGTAGCCATCTGCTCCGGAGCATCCTGTCGAAGCTAACACACATTTCTTCCGCTAAGTTGGCTGCCTGGTACAGAGTTGCAGCGAGTTCGAGAGAGGATCCTGGCGAATAAGCAGCATTCGATAGCGTCTCCAGGTTTTGCCGTAAGTCATGGAGGGTATTCATTTCATGCGAAGTTGACCTTTTGACCCCGACAAAGCTGGACATCAAGGATCGCAGGTGGGTTTCTAGAATGAGGGGCGCCGTGGACGTCTCCAGTTGTTGTGCTTCGCCGTAAAGGGACTTTATTCTCTCATCCTCGATCGTCGATGATGACTGGAAGAATCTATGCGCAAAATGCGCCATGTTGTTGGAAAACACTTCTTGATTGGCAACATGGTATTCTTCCAAGTGAGAACCGAAGCTCCTGAGTAACGGATAGCATACTCCTTGGTCGCACCCTGCGAGATTGTGGGAATCAACAATGTGTTTCGATCGATCGAGTGATTCAGTGTTTGCGAAAATTTGATCACAAAAGGCACATCGCGTTTGGCCCAAATGCTGGTCCGCCTGGGTTTCGATGAAGTAATCATAAATACCTATTGCTTGAGAACACGTCCAGCCCATCGGACCAACGAAGCTGGGCTTAAGGCTTCGTTGATCAGAAGCTGTTTCAAGTCCTGAATGCCGCCGTTTTCTACTCATCTCGGAATGCAAAAACAAGGACGGCCTTCGCGGGAGATTGTTCGATCCGCGCCGGGGGGCTTGCGACAAAGGCGGAGTGACGAGCTGTTGGAGAGATTCGGCGATACTTGACACACTATCGCTCAGTCTAGAGAGTTGACTCCGAGTTTCGTGTTGTTCCGACATGACTTGTTGCTTATTAGCTTGAGAAGTGGACAAGATCAAATCGCGGAGATCTTGTTGTCTTCTACTTGTTTCTTCCGTGAAGAACACATGGCGATCGATTCTTTGTTGCTCCATCTGAGTGTTGGTATCCGTGAGCTTCCTTACGTCTTCACGAACCGCAGTAATTCTGTCTAGTCCTGAAAGGGACATCCATCTGAAAGATGATCGTTCAGCTTCAAAACCTAAATTGGGTATGTCAGGTTCTGCTCACCCGTTGATGGTGCCCATGTCAAGCACAATCTGCGACCGATGGCGCGCCAGCTTAGACTCCATTTCAAGAAAATCTCGGCCTCTCTTGTTTGAAATCCCCCCAACGATCCTGCGGCGCTTTGAGGTTGGCCCATATGCAGGTCGGTACAACTCGGTCCAGGTATCCAAATTCAAATCCCGATCGCAATTCTCGAGACGGGAAGAGAAGGTGGCAAATTGCTGAACCCAAAAGGGTCGGTTTTCATCAAGCGCATTTTCGTCCAACTTTTTGAGCAGAGACTTGAAGTCAATGAGCGTCTGGGAGAGAAGATCGGCTTCCGCCGTCAGCCGTTGCGCACGCGCATTCGCTTCCCTGAAGTCCTGGATGAAGGCGTTGAGCTTGACAAGTCCATTGAGTACATGACCCGCGACGGACAACAGGCCCGCGACGCTGGCGGCTGCGGAAACTGCCTCCATATTGTAAGATTTGGTATTTCATCAAGACTCAGAGAGAGGCCTTGAGACTGAGGAACGGCGGGGTTATTAACAATGGCTACGGTCAGCCAGATGGTCACCACTGCCACGCAATCTGCATGTGGCGACTGCAGCACATCTCCTGCGCTGCAGTGTTGATCATCCCCATTGGACAGGACTCGCTGCTTTCCATGTTATATGGGGGGCGTGATAGAAGCGCGACTTGCGTTGGTTCTAGGCAATCGGCTCAGCCTCCACTTGTCGCCTTGCAGGTTGCCTTACGAATTGCGAACGACTTCGGCGCCGTGTCTTCATCGCTGACGTGTTCCGCTAGCGTTTACCCTGACCACTTGCTATGCGAGCTCCAGTACTCGATTACCGGCAGTGATGGATGTCCCCGATCTGTATCCACGACCGGAGCATGGAACGAAAAGAAAAGGTGGAGGGAACCGGCCTTGGAAGGATTGTTCCTCTGCGCGGAGTCAAAGAAGTTTCTCGGTCCAAATGCATCGGTTGTTTCAACCCATTGAATATTTGTGAAAAGAAACAATTGAGAGTCTGGGATAAAGATGAGATTGGGCCCTAGATTAGCACAAAGCGCTTCCCAATGACAGTCAAGCGCCCTCAAGAACAATAAGAGACATCAAGAAAACCGCTGGTAAGGAAGACATGCGAATGACTTCTTTGTACTTAACGAGAGAGGGGATGACAGATGTTGCTCAACCGCGAAAGACAGAAGACGAGAAATATAAATGCAAAGAACCATCCTCATGAATGAAGCAGAAACTTGACAACTTTTGGCAGAAGCTCTGGTAACTAGTTTGTAAACAAGTCTCTGGAAGACGCACTCACTTTATTTCAAGCCCAGACAACACCCTCTTCAAAACATCACAAGTTGGCTTACACAAAGTGAAACCGCCTTGAATCAAAGCTGATCAAGACTTCTTGAGAAACTTCCTTAACCAAAGGCAATGCCACCAAGGTCAAACGACGGCTCATCAAGCCGCCAGCCACCGGCACAGCAACAAGGGCAGCAGCCACATACCTTCTCCAACCTAGATATAGATCTAAGTTCCTTGGAGCAACACAACCGCGAGCGTCCACACGACCACGAATTCGGGCCAAAGAGGGAGTATATCGTCCCGCAGGTCCCGGCTTTGCCGAACAACGGCTTCAACGTTCCTGCCCAGGCAGAGCCATCCAACGTGATGCACCCCCAGACGGGTCAGTCGCAAGCTCAATTCCCGACATACAACTCCATGCCGGGACAGAATTTAGGCCCTCCGCTATCGCCAGCGCAGTACATGGAGCCCAGCAACCAGCAGCTCAACAACCAACAGCTTCGCTGGGCCCGGCCCTACCAGCTCCAGCCCCAACAACCCCTTCCAGGAGCCCCAAGCCAGCCAGGAAAGCGCGGCCGCCCTCGTAAATCCCCTGGAGGAGAAGACGAAGCCCAAAGGCCAGTAAAGAGACCCAAACTCCAGCAACACCACTGGCAACCCGCCCTCAACCGCATCATAAACTCTGCCCAAGTCGGCCAGCACAACCCCATCGACATCATGTGCGACCACTGCCGCGCCCGTCCCCACGAGAACCAAGGCTGCAACGTCGACCTCGCCAACCAGATCGAGTGCCACCGCTGCACCCGACACCGCGCCCTTGTCGACCCGAACCATATCTGTAAAGTCCTCGGCAGGGAATACTGGCAGAAGCGCTTCGCCAACAGCCGGCCGTCGTATCCCATCCACGAGACTAGTTCGAGCGTCTGCGCGCGGTGTAAGACGCACCAGGGGAGCGGTCGGCATGCGTTGTGCGATATCGACGACAGGGTCAAGATTGGGTGTACGCCATGTAAGAATGATAACGCGCTGTGCCGGGTGTACGACGAGCAGAAGGCGAATGGTGAGAAACCGGACGTGGATCAGCCGGCGGAGCTTATGTGGAACCGGCCGGAGGTCGGAGACGGCAGCGTGCCCGAGGGCTGGCGGCCTTGGTGGCGGCAGATGTGCATGGGGTGCCAACCAGGCAAAGCCAAGGCGTGTTCTTGGATCCGGGACTTTCGGCTAAGGGAGTATAAGTGCACGACGTGTGTCGAGAAGAATATCCCCTGCGTAGACCCTTGGACAGGGGACACGTACGAGACGCCGTATACGTGGGCTCCCGGGCAGGGCGATAAGATTGTCTATGACACGGGAACGAAGATCCGAGAGGCCAGAGACCGGTGCACCAACTGCCTGGCGAACCAGGCCATGTGCCGGTCCCTCGCTGACGAGGAAGACTTCGCGTGCGTCCGGTGTACCTCGTGGGGCCTGCTGTGTGAGACACCCGGGAACGGGAGCCGGCACCCGTCGCGGCAGCTGCCTTGGATCGACAGGAAGAGGGTCGGGTGGTCCGGCTGGACGAAGTGCACGGCCAACGACAAGGGTATGAAGTTCCGTGGGTGCAGGCGATGCCGGGAGAACGGTTATAAGTGCGATCGCCAGCGGCCGTGTGATACGTGCGTCAACAACAGGGCGGAGGCGGACTGCGATTCGTGGGTGTATAACAAGGATCTGCTTAGACGCAAAGAGACGAATGGTGCGGAGCAGCCGGAGTATTACATGGCTCTCGGGTACGGTCCCAGGGGTGTTGACGATGATCGTATGTTGTGTCTAGAGGAGAATCTCGTCGGGCCAAATCGACCAAAGTATGCGGTCATGACGGATCCTGCTGTTGCTGCTGCTAATTCTGTCGCCCCGGCTCTTGCCCCGCCGCCTGCTCACGTCACGGTTGGAAATGCTCCCGTGGCACCGCAGCAGGACCCACGTCAGTTCGGACGTGTCGTCGGCATCGGACCCGGCGGTGGCGGTATGGCCCCACCGCCACAGCCTATGCCGGCAGCCGGGCAACAAGGTTCCGCCGCACCGTTCGCCCCGATGGACTACTACGACCCGGCCTACCCCTACGGCAACCAGGACCACATCCGCAGCCAGCATAACAACATGATGTACGGCGACAACAACGCGGCCGCCGTGGCAAACAAGACGGGCGGAGGGTTCTCCAACTGGGTGGGCGGCTACAACGGGAGCGATAGCCACCAAAATCCCAATGCCCATCCGCCTCCGTTTGAGGGCCAGGCCCAGAACCAGGATGATATCCAGTACATGGTGGGCAACGGATATGATATAAACCCAGAGGCTCTGGTCCAAATGGCAGAGGAACAGCCCGTCCTCTTCCACCCGCAGCTCGAACTCGACCCCGAGCACGAACAATCTGAAATCGCCCGCGGTATCTGCGACTTCATGGCTCAGCTAGCCCGCGACGGTCGCTTCGTTCCCATCGAGCTGCGCAACTTCAACCCGCCCGAAGTAGCCGAAACCCCCCTCGCCGCCCGCATCGGTCCCCCCGCCCTAGCCATCCTCGAGCTCACAGACGAAGACGCTCTCAATCCGCCCCGCGAACCACCGGGACCACCAACATGGAACCCAGCCCCTTACGAACCCCAACTCCGAGCCGCCCTCGCACGATGGAAACGCCCAGCCAACAACGTCTTCCGCGACATCCCCGATGCCTCCCTTCTAAACGTCGACGCCCAGCCCGATAACCAAACCTGCGCGGAAGTCAAGCCCGGCGCCCCAGGAAACATCTGCAACGCCCCCGTCCACAACGGTGCCCACTGCGAAAACCTAGAACACGCCGCCGCGCAGCCCAAACCCCACGTCGTCTGCGATGCCTGCGACCTCACCTCCAAGAAACATCTCTTCGAGGGCCAGCAGCCCCTAACGCGCATGGAAGTTCTCAACATGCGCAACTACGCCTGCGGAGGCTGCGCCATCACGCACCAGGCCGACGCGCGGTTCGGCGTCAAGGCGGCCAACGGCCAGTGGGAGTGGCCGCTGTACCCCGTCACCGGCTGTCTCTGCGCCGAGAAGCTTCTTGGCCGGCGGCTGTGCTCGCATCACCGGTACCAGCTCGCGCAGCGGCTCATGATCCAGGTGTCGATGGTGCTCGAGTGGGCGATTACCAACTTTGGACCGGATATGTGTTTGTTTTGTAAGCAGGGCGGCGATCTCGCCAAGGGTGTCGCGCAGGCGCCGGCGAATGAGTATATGGATGACCTGTTGTTCGTGTGCCTCAATTGTGAAGGTATCGTTGCCGTAACCGACCCGGGCCCAAAGGAGATTGTTCCGGGCGTGCAGCAGTGGATGGGCGGATGTCATCCATTCTCCCTCTACTCGGAGCCGTGGTTTCAGACGCCTTTGCCGGACATCGACTGGGAAGCCTAGTTGTGCGAATAGGACTTTGGATATCTCATAGTAGACAAGGCCGAGTTAGGGAAAAGAGGAGTTCCGGTTGGCTGTATCTTGTTCTTTGGTGTTCTCGGATTTGGCTTTGGATCTGGATAGACGCGGATAGGTTGATACCACGGTGACGGTGGAGCGTACATGGCGCATTGCAGGTGTTTCGTTTATTCCAGAAAAAAGAAAGCGTTCAGATTCTGACATTTCCGCTCCGGGCCGTGAGATGTTAGTCGGGTGGAGGTAGGGTACACCGTTGAGACTTGGGGGATGAATATGAGATTTCTGGGTAACTCACAGCTGCATGTCTAAGGTGAGGTAAGGTGACGACGGGCGCCACTGGGTAATTGGGGGCCTCGGGCTATGCATCTGGACCGGGACAGGCAGTCTTGGGGGAAACTTTGTTGAGGTGTCATAGGCGAGTTGCATATGCTCTGGGTTTCGTTTTTTGTGCCCTAGTGTAGTGACATATTAGCAATGAACTATAGGTTTCTTATTCCATTGGCATCGGAAGTTCGGAATTTGGAACACTTACGGATGGAGACCTCCTCCTGAGGGCCATCCTTCATATAAGCACCTTATTCCGTACATATCAAGTACTAGCTTACCGATCTATCGTCGCTCAAATCTTAAGAGCAAGCTGACCAGCTAATTTCCAGATGACCTTGTTTCATCGTCAGTCATACCATGCTGAGGTATCACATCTCGTAAAACGTTGCAAAGGCATCTTGGACAATAGCCATGTGTGCGGAAGAACGCTAAGCCCAAGTGAACGAAATCTCACACAACTCTAGCTCAACCGTTGAAAATCACAGTCAGGGCAAGGTATCACATCTCAGAATGGACTGACGTAAAGGGAATCTGTATGACTTGGCGACTGACTCTGACCTCGGAAAAACCTTGCGGTGTCTCAGAAGAAAGAAGGAATTACAGTATGAAAAGAAAAAAAGGAGTACCGATATAAAGAAGAGACAGAGACAAGCCGATGTTTGGTCTCAAATAGCCCTCCCAGTGTGTGTAGTAAAGAATCTCGAGTCCACCCTCCCCAAGGTCTTGCGGCCAACAGTCTCTGGCTGGCAGACCAATCAGTCTGTGAACCTTTTGTTCTCTGCTGCCGCACCACACGATGAGGATCCTGCTAAGGAGTCTTGTGAAAAGGACTCTCTTCTCCTGTCCCCTGCCACGTACAATCGTGTGCGATGACCATGTCCATGAAGTTGCCCTGAAAAGAACAAGTTCCAAAAAGTGCAGCAAGTCAGAACCCGACTCCCCGTCCGATGCAGCACAAACAAGTTTTTGATCATTGGTTCCCCACGTCAACATGTCTTTCTCCAAACGACATTTGCTGGGCCTGCTTGGACCTGTTCAAAAGTCCAGACGGGGAGGAAACCGTGCGTTCAGCATTAACCAGCGGCATCCACTAGCCCAGTCAAGGCTCAAGGTATCTCACGACTCTCTAGCCGCTTGGTTCGCCACCATCCCTCTCCCTCTTGCTCTCTCGCTCTCTCCATTGCGCGCGCTCTCTCTCCAGGTCGAAGTCGAAAAAAGACCGCTCACATTATTACGCACTTGGAGCAGCAGCCTGCCTCTTGCTCACCACCCTCGACGTCCATGGGCTTCGGGGGTCCGTTGATGCCAGAGGCGCCACCACTGCCGGTAGAGTAGCCCTGCATCTCTCGGTTGTATCGACGAATTTCGCGGACAATATCGTAGAAAGCCTTGTCGACGTTGATGCGAGACTTGGCTGATGTCTCGATGAACTTGCATCCAAATGACTTGGCAAGAGCCTCTCCCTCTGTAAAATATATTTATTAGTCATTAATTCAATCGATGAAATCAACCATCGTAGTATGAACCTATATATGGGAGGCACTATGATGCAGTGACGCGGCGCAGCAATCGAAAAACAACATACCTTGTCGTGTGACTTCTCTCTCGCCCTCCAGATCGCACTTGTTGCCGACAACGACCATGGGGAAGTAGTCCTTGTCCTTGACTCTGAGGATCTGCTGTTGGAATGTGGTGATTTCCTCGAAGCTCTGGCGCGAGGTGATGGAGTAGACAAGCAGGAATCCCTCTCCCGTTCTCATGTACTGCTCGCGCATGGCGGAGTACTCTTCCTGGCCGGCGGTGTCGAGAACATCGAGCAGGGCGACTTCCTCGTCAATGACGCACTGCTTGCGGTAGGAATCTGTAGTTGAGGAAGACCACGTTAGTTGGGCGATTGATTCGCGGTCGCATCGACCGGCAGTAGAAGGTTGATTATCGGGGCGACGTACCTTCAATCGTAGGGTCATACTCGTCGACGAAATGGCTCTGGATCAATTGGATGGTCAAGCAAGATTTACCGACACCACCGCCACCGACAACGACCAGCTTGTACTCTCTCAGGAACTGCGAAAGGATGACGGGTTAGTAACGGGTTGATGGAGGCGACGAAGACGAAGCAAGGACTGAAGAACGGGAGATCGCGCGACGACGCGAGGACGAGGACGAGAGCGAGGGCGAAGAATATGACGAACCTTGGACGCCATTGTGCTGTGATTATGTGTTGATTGATGATTGAAATCTCGGCGGTTCTTGTTCGCGCTCGTTGTTGATGGCTTGAAGCAGCTGCTGTTGAGGTGAAGATACGGGCGAGATCCGGGAAACAGTCAGGAGCAGCCGGGGGATTTGCGTCTCGACGGATTCGGAAAGGGCTCAGCGAGTTGGATTTGGCGAGGTGCGTGAGCGTGAACGTGGGATTGAAAGGAGTGGTTTGGCAGCGAGCGAAACGACGAGTGGGAATCTGGGTCTGGGACGGCACAGGCCGGATTGCGAAGTTTAAAGGTGAAACGACGAGGTCGATGGCAGAAATCCGGGACTGACAGCAGACAGTCTTTCGAGAAGGAGAATGAGAGAATGGGCACAAATGGGGTGGTGTTTCGATGTTGCTAAGGGGGGGCTTTTTGGCAAAATGTGGAGATGGGGGAACGGGTCGGTCCAGTCGTAGGGAAGGAAGGACCTGCACTTTGCCTCTGCTCCTGCCTCCTGGCGCTACTGCTTGGTGCTGTGTGCTGGGGCAGGTGCGGGTGCGTGTGTGCTTCTGCTCTTGCTCTCGCTCTCTGCTCTGCTATGTTCTCCTGCTAGGTGCTGAAGTGGACAGGATGAAGGTAAGGTACGAAGCTGAGGTACCGATTAAGCACACCGGGGTACCTGCTCTTGCAGTAGCTGCACGGCGGAAATCGCAGTACACCCACTCACTCCACACCTTGTATCTTTCCTTACATCGGCCTTCCCTGCCGTCCCTCCCTCCCAGCTCCCCTTCGCTCTTTCCCGCGCCTTACTTTTTTTTTTCTCTCTTCCCTCCTGGGCTCCTTCCACCCTCACCTTCTCCCATTGCCAGACGGGCAGGGCAAGGAAGGTGCTGTATCCATTCATCCACCTTCATCCAGAAACGGTACGTAACTTCAGGGCAGACAGTAAAGTGCCTCTTTCGTCACACTGGGGGAGGGGGGGCATGCCACACACACACACTCTCTCTCTCTCTCTCTCTTTCTCTCTCTCTCTCTCTCTCTCTCTCTCTCTCTCTCTCTCTCTTCTCATCTCTCAGTCTCCTTCACATCGAGACGGAATTAGAGGTGACGGGAGAGGTGAGAGGTGAGTGAGAGAACGAGGTGAAGCCTAGGATCAGGTGGACAGGGTCTGCTTGTAAAGATTCCATTGCATCCACCTCAGTTCTGAGCAGTGAGCACGTCTGGTTCCGTCTGCTTTGGTCACCTCAGGGCTCACAGCAAGGTACTGGACTGTTGCCCTCCGCCGGCCTTGTCTCGTCTGCCGTGCCCGGCCAAGTCGACACGGGCGTGCCACCAGGTCTAGCCAGGTCCTTTTTGCCGTCCGTCGCGTACTTGTTCTTCATCTCTTACCAAGTTGACCCCCCCTTCTCATGAGACGAGAGAACCAATGCGCGCGGCTTCTGTCACACTAGGCGCTCTCTCGATCGCGCGGTCTACGATGTCGGGAATCCAAGCCAAGACATCTCGACATATTGTTTGTCTGGTTCGTCACCTCTCTATTTCGCATTGGACAGGAGCGGTTGGCTGGCACCTGTTTGGCGTTTAGCGCTGGTCTTATGACTTGACGACGACCTGGGAGACTTAGATCGCAGAAGGCCCAGGCACACACCCTCACCAACGTCACTCACACTGCCTCCGTCCGTTCCATGCCTTATGCGAACTTCGAGGTACGCGACGTGCGCTACGGATACATGAGGCACATGTCGGGCCAAGTGAGAGCAGATCGATAACGACCTCTCTTGTGGAAGCGCTATTTGCGACCGAGGCGTCTTTCATGACCAATCACTTGAACGGTTCCATGGGGCCCGGCCCGTCTAGAAGGAAAGGGGGCAATTACAAAAGATTGACAAGAGCCTGGGGTTGCAATGATGGTTGATAGTGATACCGATAACGCATCCCTTCATTGGTTGTACTGCGCTATGTACGGGCACATCGGGGCAAAGATGAACAATCCCATCAAACAAAGGGAATTGGCAAGAAAAATTAGACGATAATACCGAGGGCTTGAGTGAAGGTGAGATTTGACCGGGGATGGCAAAGAGGGACTTGCAAGTGGGAGTTTATCGCGGCGACCTTCTGGTGCAGTAGCGTCGGATGCAGCAGGGGGGTCCCTTGGAACCATAAAAAAGAGGCCCAGTGCAGATGCAGATGCCCACCAAGCAGCGAGGCGGCCGGAGGGGGGGAGGACCATTGATGAAGTGCAAGGAGGAGACGCGCAGAAACGATGGAATAAATTGGTGAGTGGACAAAAGGGAAAGAAAAAAGTGGGGTGGCGTCGTGTGCGGTTCGTGCGAGTGAGAGTGGAACTGTGGAAGCGAGTGGGAGCGAGATGGGGGATCCCACCTCAGGCACCAGGAGGAAACGGTACGTAGCTATCTGACAGGGGAAAGGGACGAGCTGCAAATGCGAGTGAGTGACCCCCTTAGCGGCAATTCTCAAGTGCTGACAGGGGCAAGAACCAGAGGGAAAGGTGGGGTAGATGCACTTAAGCGTCAGGCTTGAAGTTTTCTTCTACTTATGTAAGCTATCAAGGTCGCGCTCAACGCATCTCTCATTGAATACTGTCTTCACCTGGAAGTGAATCATGCAAAGATCTACTCACGATGAGAGTTAAGTACGGTTCAATTCCTTTGCGTAAATGACAGCGCAAATAGCCCTGAGCAACGAGGTACGCAGTCATCGGTCTCTTCACCGCTTCCGTTGTGGTGCCGTGTCGTATTGCCTAATACAATGTCCGGATATAAGCCCCAGTTCTTCGGTCACCTCATCAGAACAGAAACCCGATGTGAGAGCAGCGAAAGGACGTATCGCATCTTGCGCTTCGACAGCTCCACACTTCTGATTACAGTAATAATACGGCGCAGAACACGGCAGGATACGATCTATCAGACTCTACCTTGCCTAAGTTACTTACAGACTCGTGTGCTCTTGTGCGGGTTTGAGCTTTAGCAATTAGACTCCCTGTCACCGATACGTGTTCTACCTTGCTATACGGACTATGGCGGGAAGCCTTCTACAGTCTTACTCTTACTAAAACAAAAGAACAGGAAAGAGACCGCATCTGAGGCAAGTCGAGATGCTCAAGTCGACCTTGTCTGCGGCCTGCTGCGGCCGATGGTGACGCGTTGGACCAAGACATACACCTAGGTCTCACCAACTTGCGTCAGAGATTGCAACACGCTTTTCGAGACAATTCACTGCTTCGGAACGACTTCTGGCCATACATCTGAGAAAGATAGTTGACGCGTCTTCTTCACTACATGACCCAAATGGTGTGCGTTTGATCCGTGATGTCTCCGTCCCGTCGTCATATCTGAGATGAGCTTCATTATGAGCCTCCTCGGAGACAAGACCGTATGTAGTTAAAGAGGGTTGAAGCGTGAGTGGTTCCTTCCTGCGCTGCAAGCAAAGAGCTTTGACCACGTGGGGCTCATGGCTTGTCCTCCCGTCCTTCGCACTGTACGTATCCCTACGACACCAGTCAGGCATGGCAGGTACGAAGGGTGGGAAGGATTTGTATGTGCCAATGTGGACGGCAGGCACGATGCGATGCCTCCAGCCTTGCAACTCTTGCACCCTCAGTATTCCGTATCCGCCTCATGAACTCTGCGCTTTACACAACCTTGCCTTACCTTGCCTCACTTTACATACGTAAGGATACAATACTGGCTTTGCGATCTAGACCCCGAATCGGATGACCTTCACTGATCCGAGGTTGAATGAGCTCCCTCAAGCAAGCTGAAAGGAAGTCTCTAGATAGGTATCCGTCCACTTGTTCTCTTCTGTCACAAGTTTCGTTGGCTTTCGTTAGCCCAGCATCATCCAAATAGCTGCGAATGACCTGTTTTTGCTTGTCAGCAGCCGAACCTTCTTTACCTCCTCTTAAAGGATTGCTGAACCTATTCAACAACAATCGATGAGCCACCTGCAGGCTGCAGCTTTTGACGCCTCACCATGGACCAGGTGCCGAGTATACGCGAGAAAAGCGAAATCGCCACCTCCTAAACTCTCCCCACTACAAGTCCGTCTGCTTGCGGCAGCGCCTCGCGCCGAATTGAGCCTCTTCGGGATCTCCACGTCCACGTGGATCTCCGTTGTATAGCCAACTCTTAGAACGACGTCCGTATCGCTCAGGACATCTACAACGCAGTAGCCTGACAGCGCACTTTGCTCTCGACCGATCTTTATGCCAGTTCGTGGCGCAGAGGCTGGCTCAGCTCAACTTACACACATCCCATTCCAGCCAACTTCGGCCCGGAGGTCACGGAGATTCCGAGTGAGAGTTTCGAGCACATGCTCCCTTCCACCGCCGCACCCGTCACCCCAAGAAATCAATCAAAGACGCCCTCGTCTACGCATGACAGCAGTAAGGGACGACGCGCTGGAATGTAGAATGGCATCCTGATTAGTTTTCACCTAAGGGTGCACGGCATCGTCTGAAGTTGCCAGCCAGCGCAGATAACTTGGTACTGATACAGATATGTTGTCGAGATACAGGACCCTGGGGCAACGTGTTGGACACCATGCCACAATCCGGCATTTCTCCACCGACGTTGTGAGCCCCTTGCCACCTCGATGGACGAATGCCTGCCAGGGGTTGAATGCAGCTATTACCTACGAATACAAAGGCCCCCTCAAGCGGCTTTGCTTCACCGAGCCATTGCAGATCCTTGCACAACGGCACACGCGCATTTACCAGACTATTACCACCATATCTAACCCTTGCCAGCGTACGCCGTAGCCCAAGAAACCCGAACACCGCGCGGTGACGGTGACACCCGACAGCTCAAGCAGCATCGCGAGGGGAATCTCGATCATCAAAGCTCCCTGGTCGAAACGAATCGACAAAATTTGTTCGCACACCACGTACTATGACTATTCGAAGCCCACTTACAGATATCCCTCAACTGCCTTGGTCAGCATTGTTCAGCCGGCTTGGAAGGATGCTTGCTGAACGTCCAATCATGGGCAGGCTTTTGTCGTACCTGATATTGTGAACATGGAACGCGGTTCCAAGTGAAAAAGAGACGAGGGGCAAACTGTTGCGATCCACTTATCGTATCTTCGTACGGAGCCCTCTGCAGACTGCACAGTAAATCCGTACTTGGGCCAAACCGCAGTCAGCGCTTGCTTGAACCCCTCAAGTTTCCCGTTTCAACGGCGCAACTGGGACTA